CATAATAAATGCTTCTCATCATTTTCAAGTATACCTTGGAAATGTGAAAAAATAATAATCTAAAAATACTGAGGGGGGTTGGGAACCCACTGTAAAAGTAAAAGTACACCATGTGAACATTAGCTGACATCAATAGTGATTAAACCAGCATAACGAGATGATCTCTCTCTCTCTCTCTCTCTCTCTCTCTCTCTCTCTCTCTCTCTCTCTCTCTCTCTCTCTCTCTCTCTCTCTCTCTCTCTCTCTCTCTCTCTCTCTCTCTCTCTCTCTCTCTCTCTCTCTCTCTTTATTTTTTTATCTCTCTTCTATCCAGGGCTGCCACATACCTCTAGGCAAACTAAGCCTTCAGGGCAGCAAGAGAGATTAGATTTTTTTAGACAAGTTATGACCTCATTAGTTATTCTAAATCTAAATTAACTTTCCATCATTCTAGTATAACCACTCCACCAGGCTTTCCGTGTCGTGTGTGAAACTGCCTTTATGTCAAAGTGGTACTGCCGGCCCAATTTAGAAGTGGCACCCGGAAATGATCCTGTTTCTCCCAGAAATCTCCTAATTTGAGCTAAATTGTGGTTTAATATTCGGTAATCGGTACATGCATTTATTATATAATAGGGTATAATATGCAACAGAATTTGAATTTGCAGTTATTAGTGGTTGCGCGGTAAGTTGATTTATGTTTATTTTGCAGAATAAAAAAAAAACAGACAACATGCTTGTGCATATTTTTTTATTTTAGTCTAATTTGAACAATAAACAAAATCCTCACTCTTTCTCAAAATCGTGTTTAAATGTAAGTGTGAAAAAGGAGTGCACGATCTTGTTTTGCCAAGAGTGTACGGACCTACAGGTACAGTATGTGCAACTTTTTTTAATTGACACACAAGGGCAGGGCTATAGGCTAGGGCAAGTGTAAAAAAAAAAAAATTAAGCTTTCTATTTCTATTTAACATTCTTTATGCAAAGCTGGTAGCACATCAATAGTAATTGTGCGTAGTTTTTTTGTGTTTTCGCTTGAATGCAATTCTTAATTTGAACATTCATATAAAGACATACTGTAATACACAGTCTTTCTAAAGTAAAGGTATACATCAATACAAGGAAGTAAACACTTTAAATGGCAGACACACCATGACCAACTACATACCTTTCAATAAAAGAAAAACTGGTTTAAGGTTATTTTTGAAAAAGTACTTTTGGATTCCCGTCACAGTCCTCCCACATTTATCCATATAGCCTACATATGATTGAGATGTGCAGTTTTCAGCATCATTGTGTCCTGGTTGAACTGGCGAAGAGAGAATCACCCTGATTTACTCTGAAGCAGCATTTCATCATCAGGTGAAATTACTTCTTCATTCATCACATCTACTCACTCTTTCAACTGCTTTTGTTTTACATATCAATTGTTTTGTGATTCTAGCTTATTATGTCTACCCATTAACATTTTAGTCACTTGTTCTGGAATTGTGAAATACAGTAGTTGCAGTTTTTATAAATGTACACAAAGCATTTTCAAAAGCATCTTCTAAACGGAAAATTAACAACTTAGAATGTAATTTAAAAATATTTTATATTAATAGTTCTTTGAGGAGTGCAAATATAGCACAGCAAAACAAAACAACTATTGCTCTATAGTGGCAATAGTTTAATGGAAATATCATGCATTTATGGAAAATTTATGTTTAAATACTGTTGCTGCTAAAGTCGAAATTTTCCTCATAACTAATTTCACCGTTCTGAGTTACTTTATCTGTTATTATTAGTTATTATTATAATTACTAATTGGTCTTGATAACTTTTTGTGAATATCAAGTCAGTTCCCCTCAAGTTCACACAGGCCAGAGTAACCAGAATTGTGGTTCATATATATAACTATGAACGTGTCCTATAATTTTGACTTTTTGCCCTTATTTTGAATAAAATATGTATTGTATCATAACCCTACCAAATTTTATTTTGTACAATTTTTTTCATTGAAATGTGTGCTAATGCTTTCTTTAAAAAGAGGCACTTATCTCACATTTGGACACTTAACACAATTGAAAATGTGTAAACGTCTTTGCATTTTATAACAAAATATCAGAATACTGATATTTTGTTATAAAATGCAAAGACGTTTACACATTTTCAATTGTGTTAAGTGTCCAAATGTGAGATCACTATATAGTGTATAAGTCAGAGTGTGTGTGTGTGTGAATAAACTTTGTTCATTTTACAGATCACTTTGACATCTTCGGGAGCAGTCTGCCACAATGAGATTTCTAATCTCATTGTGTGTGTCACTTCTCCTGTTGATTAATGGTAAGAGTTTTATAACAATGCACTTCGTCATGAATTATCCTTCATTTTTGCTCTTTTAATCCTTTACTTGTAAACAAAGTAAAATTGTGTTTCCAACACTTGAACACAATTTACTGCATTTTTAGCTTTTTTCACATTTGCACTGCAAACAAAAATGTGTATGTCAAGCTTAGTAGGCTGCACACTTCAAGAAAATTATAAAATAGCATTAGTCTTGTGGCCCCCACAATATCTCTTCATCCAGAAAGAATTAATGCTGACATGTCACTCATCATCTAAAAAATAAAAACAATGAATTATACGTGGCATTCATTTCCTGCCAGTATAATGTGATCAGATTGATTCTTTCAATAATACAATTACTTAATTAGTTTGTGAATGTATTTTTCCACCAGTGTTTTTTTTTTCAATCTAGAAAAAATTCTGATTGTTCAATTTACTTAGTAAATGAGCTATAGCAACACAATTGTAGAACATTTTGTCATAACTTAATTTCATTCTGTTCATTATGTAAAACTGAGTTTACTTGATTCATGTATTCCGAACACAAATGGATTATTCAACTGAATTATAGATGGGTAGAATTGTTGCATTATTCCAAAAAAAAAAAAAAATTAATATTCACAAATAAACAAAGGGTTAAAAATAGGAATACAATTCACAAATAGCCTTTTTTTACAAATCTGTTACGTCACAATGTGTTATACATGGCATTCATTTGTGAATCACTTCCTGTGCATTTGTGGATGGCTTTTAGTGCATTTGTAGATCACAGCACGTATTTGTGGATTGTGAAAAACTTCTAGCATCAAGACGTGTAGACAAATCCACAAATAAAGTTGACTCCACCCACCGTTTACTCAAGCCAATCAGATACCGGCCACACTGACCAATCATGTTTTGCATTACACTCGGGGCGGGAACAGATTCATTTTGCACCCCTTGCACCACTATCCACCCGTTTTCTTGTTTTCCCTACACTCGGCTGCACACAACGGTCAGGTTAATGCTCTAGTTGCATACATAACGCACACATATCCCCACCATTACTGCATCCTTCCCCCATATCCCTCGATAAACACACGCAGACACCATAAGGTCAACAATAAATGTGTATTGTATTATCTGTAAGTTATGTCTCGTGTTGTGGTTTTTTGCTGAGGAGCCCGGCGTCAGCGGTGGTCCAACAATGGTGGTGACAGGAAGTACGTCTTCATTCCCTCCTTCAGGGAACGAGGGTTACATACATAACCAAGACATTCCCTATAAGTCGGTCACGCTTTACTCACGTCAACGTGCCGAAGTATTGGGATCCCAAGTAACACGCCACCTATTGCTGCCACCTTCCAGCGCGGAAGCCACATTCTACCCGTAGGGAGGTATAATGTGGAAGTTACACATATGGACTGGCCGTTCAGGGCAGGACAACATATCGAATGTCACTGAAGTATCTCTGGCCTATGTAGGGGGGAGACAACACCGCTCAGTGACGGCAGAGCGGGCTCTGCCATGGGAAAGACACAGGCAGGGAGCCATACCACAGAAGAAAACACATATGGGGTCGCCATAGGGATCACAACATATGGGACCCAGCCTAGCACAGGTTTTACCAATGCATATGAGTGTTAGGCCTGGTTTCAGACGCTCTGCCACATCCGACTGCCGGAGGGTGTGGAGGAATTCAACAGGGTTCGCCTAGATGGGGAACTCACCTGGAGCATAAATGGTGCCCGTATCCAGTCCATAGGTGGGGAATGGCGCAGCAAGCCGACAATTTGAGCGGGGTCTCCAGTTTTGAGAGGCAGAGTTGTTCGTGACAAAACACATTTGTACAAAAAATTAAAAACACAATTTATTTATTTGTGAATTTCATTCATTTTTTTTTAAATTCTTTACATGTATTTGTGGATCTTAATCTTTTTGTAAATGTAATTAATTTTTGTGAATATCTCAGTCTATTTATTTGGAATAATGCAACTATTCTAACACCATAGAATTAATAGGCAATTCATTTTCTTTGGTTTCCACCATTCTTTGCATAGGGCTGAATCACTAAATGTTGAAATGAAGTATTAAAAACAATATTAAGTATATTAAGGATACAATATTAAAATTTCTAAATGAACGTTCAACACAGAAAAAACTCTATCTCAGTGTAGAATGGACACTGCTCTCACACATGTTGCTCCTTTCACTAACCCTTTCCTTCATGACAGTTGTTTTCAGCAGCATCAGTGTAGATCCTTGTTCCAGCTATGAATCTCTGGATCGTCCCTGGAGAGCCACGAATGAAACTGGATTGTGGATTTGTGATGGCTCTTTCTCCTGGAGCGGCTGGTACCGATTTTTCTACAATGAGATGGACATCCGAATGCCAGAGAGCTGTGTTAGTGGAGACAGCTGTAACACGGCCATCAGTCTGTGGCTCAACGGTTCCCATCCTCAGATACAGGACGGAGTGGTGACCAGGGAGATTTGTGGGGCGAGTCTTTTGAATGGCTGCTGTGATGATCGATTCTCCCCCATCAGAATCAAAGCTTGCCCAGGCGATTTCTATGTCTATGAACTTGTGAAGCCACAATATGGGTGTTCAGCATACTGCACTGGTACTGTGTTTTTTCCAGCTTTTTATAGTGTATGTTATGTGAACTTTCATTTTCACTAATGTCTTCATTTATACCCTCTTTTTAGATATCAGCACACTATCCCAGACAGCTTCCACTGCAAGTCCAGCTATGATTACTGAATCCAGCCTTACCATGTGTAGGTTGCTAAATACTATCAAATAATCAATCGTGCACATTGAAATTAGACACTTTTTCTTTTCTACTAATGTTCTACCTTCAAAGGATAGTTTACCTAAAAACATTCGTATTCGGTATTCATTTCTTTCTTCTATGTAACACAGAAGAAGATATCTTGAAGAATGTTTGTAACCAAACAGTTTTGATAACCACCAACTTGCATTGCATGGAAAAAAACACTTAGATGTTTCTGAAAATATCTTCTTTTATGTTCCACAGAAAACATGTCAATTAATTCTAAGAGAAAATCATTCTAACTCTAATAGATTAGAGGAGACCATACCACACCTATCATATTATAATGACAGAGGAATGTGGGTTGGGTCCACTTTCATACTGTAACAATTGTTTCTCCACCCAGCTGATGGACACTGACAGCTGATCACAATCCATTCATGTGTGCGCTGTGGATAGGTTTGCAGCAGTGTTTTAGTTTTGTAGTTGCTTTAAAGTAAATACATTATAGTCCATCAGTATAGACATTAATATAGCCTATTTATCATTCTTATAGTGATTGTTCTTGGTTTGAATGGGCCTTAGAGTCATGAAAATGACAAAACCTTGTAACCACAGGGTAGTGCAGTGGTTTTTCAGCTTCAAGTGACATGAATTTGCACCACAATGATGCAAAGTTGGATTTGATTTGTATTTAGCATTGCTTTTCCTTGCTGTCCGTGAATAGACACTACATCTGGAGTAGTTTAGCCTATATATGTGTAAGAACCTCACTGGTACCAAACTGTCAGGATTTGAAATGACGTAACTTATTTTGTTTGGTCTCATCAGCTGCCATCAACACTGATTATGATCCATGCTACAACTACAGCATTCTCGATAACTACTGGAGAAGCACACTCAATTACTGGGATATGTATGGATACATATCTGGATATGATGACACTCGTATTGAATGGCATGGCTGGTATCGGCTCTTCATTAATGGATTGAGTGCTCAGATGCCTGAGTGGTGTTTCAGTTATCTGTCATGTGGAGGTTTTAGTTCTCTGTGGCTTGATGGCTCTCATCCTCAGCTGGAAGATGGAGTTGTTACTCGTGACGTCTACGGCTCTGTTAATGACCAGTGCAGTTACTACAGATCTGACCCAATCCAAGTCAAAGCCTGTACTGGAAATTACTATGTCTACAAATTTATAAGGCCAAAGCCATCAATCCCAGTGCCTGTATATTGTGCAGGTACAGTTATTCTATTATCACCTTTCATATGACAACTGCATTTACAGACTTGTTAATGCTAAAATGGTATTAATCGAGTAGTCTTGGAATTATTTATTTCACAATACATATAATGCACCCTTTATAATTTCACTATAGTTACATTCAACACTCCAAATACTGATCCCTGCCACAACTACACCAGTCTGGATGAGCCTTGGCGAGCCACTGACAATTATTTATTCAGTGCTATGTGTGATTATAATGTCAACTGGAATGGCTGGTACAGGCTGCTCTACAATGGTCAGAGTGTCCAGATGCCAGAGTCCTGTGTTGGTTATGCGTGGTGTGGCTCAGAGAACCCACTATGGCTCGACGGCCCTCACCCACAGCTAGAAGATGGAGTGGTCACCAGGAAAGTCTGCAGTTCCACAGGGAACGACTGCTGTGGTTACACGTCTCATCCCATACAAGTCAAAGCCTGTCCAGGAAATTATTATGTGTATGAGTTTCTCAGGCCAATATTGTGTGCATCTTACTGTGCAGGTAAACATATTTTCATCATTTTTTTATGATTTGTTTAAAAATGATGGTCTTTAATGTAAAAAAATTCCCTGGTACCAGATGTCACAAGCCTTAATATCCCATCTGCGTCTACAACATCATCTACAACAGCAGTGGCAATCCCACCCCTACAATCTATTACTGAGCCTGTCAGTGACCCAGGTGAGGTATTGCACTTTTCCTAATGAAAAAAAAGAAACAGTTTTCCTAGAACATTGCAATTGGGAGTGGGAGGGGGAGGGGGGGTTGTATGTATTATGTACGGCCTAATTATTTTTATTTATGTTTTATAGGTTTAATTTTCAAAACCATAATCTAATCTTCTTTCCCAACCTCTGCAGGGATTTTTCTTCGTTATCTTTTATTTTTCATAATCTCAAACTATTCCCTGAACATACAACAATGACTTGCATTATTGTAATACGGCATTTTTATTATGTAACATGAAGATCACTACTACTACCTACCACTATGGGATTTGCAGCCAAAATGCATTATAAAAATCAGATGAATGTATTGAATCCGACTTTTGATCACACAAGAATCATATAACTTTTGTCTCTTTTGTTGTGAAATAGTTTAGCATCCTTCAAAATATACGTAAAATATAGCCTGCGGTACGGTGCTGAGGTACAGTGAAATACAAACTCCAGTTGGAGTTACATCATTGCCACCATCACGCAAAACTTGTTTGTAGATTCGTTGGCTGCTCGACTGGTTTGTCATTTCTAAATAAAGAGATGCTCTACAATTCTCTGTGTATAACTTAAAGGGATAGTTCACTTCAAAATGAAAATTCTGTCATCATATGCTCACCCTCAAGTTGTTTCAAACCTGCATGAATTTCTTTATTCTGCTGAACACAAAGGAAGATATTTTGAAGAATGTCAGTAACCAAACAGTTAACTGGACCCATTGACTTCCATAGTATTTCTTTTTTCCTATGGAAGTCAATGGGTCCAGTTAACTGTTTGGTTACTGACATTCTTCAAAATATCTTCCTTTGTGTTCAGCAGAAGAAGGAAATTCATACAGAAATTTTCATTTTGATGTGAACTATCCCTTTAAAACTCATGTAAGTGAGTCTGAAAAAAACCCTTTTTTTTACTCCACTTGGTAGATTCCAAAGCCACAAGTGTAAAATATGTAGTCTAGTAATTTTAATTATTAATTTTTACCTTTTTTCTCACAGCCCTCCCCTTTGACCCCTGCAATAGCTACACCACAGTGGACAATCCTTGGAGAGCAACAGACAATCGATATACTTTCAATTTGATGTGTGACGCTTATGTCAACTGGGTCGGCTGGTATCGTCTCTTCATTCAGGGCCAGAGTGTTCAGATGCCAGACACATGTGTTGATCGGCTAAGCTGTGGCACTCATGCTCCACTGTGGATAAATGGTCCTCATCCACGAGTCGAGGATGGAGTGGTCTCTCGAGGTGTCTGCGGTCACTGGAGCAATGACTGCTGCTATTTCCAATCCAATCCTATTAATGTTAAAGCCTGCCCAGGAAATTACTACGTCTATGAGCTTGTTAGACCAAATTTCTGCTATTTGGCCTATTGTGCAGGTAAGCATAATTTGCATTCACCAATGTATTTGTTTGTGTATTGTATTACATTTGTGAGTTTGTTAGACAATCTGTCTGTTTTTGGCATACTGTGGAGGTAAATACATTAACATGCCTTTTGTACATATGTAATTGATATTTGTATCTAATATATAAATTAAATGTTAATATTTATTAAATGTTTTGCAGAAGTCAGGAACATTAGCATCAACAATCCTACTGTCACTCCAGAGACAACCTTGGCTGGTAATGACCTCTACTGACTGTTAATGTTTTGATGTGGGTGTGGTTGTGTCAGTATAAAGACTGTAGATAAAATAGTGTTTGAAATTTTCAGATGATTTCATGCCAAATTTGTCATACAGTAAAATTAAATATGAATATGTAAATATTATGTGTAGTTGGACATGAAAGTCTGCACAGGAACTAGTTGCTTGTGTGTGTATGTATAATTTCATAAGTTTAAGTGTAAAGATTTTGTACAGCTTCGAATTTATTTTTTACAATTTGTCCAAATGTCAATATAGGAGTTAATAGAGTAAAATGAAATAAGTAAATTATAATGAATAATAAATTCATTCTTATTCTTTGTTTTTTTTTCGTAACAGAGGCTGTCCGCATTGATCCCTGCTACAACTACACAGCCCTAGATGAGCCTTGGAGAGCAACCAACTATCACTATTCATACAATTGTGATGCTAATGTTAATTTTGTTGGCTGGTATCGTCTCCTCATTGAGGGTCAAAATGCTCAGATGCCAGAAACATGTGCTGATCAGTTCAGCTGTGGCACTGTTGCTCCACTGTGGCTTAATGGTCAACACCCAAGAGTTGAGGACGGGGTTGTCACCCGACATGTCTGCGGCCACTGGAACAATGACTGCTGCAATTATGAATTTAATCCAATGAAAGTGAAAGCCTGCCCTGGCAATTATTATGTATATGAGTTCATCAACCCAGTGTTCTGCTTTGTGGCATACTGTGCAGGTAAATATATTTACATTCACCCTTGCATATGTAGTGTTTTTTGTTGTTGTTGTTGTTGTTGTGGTATGTGACTAATATTCATCTAAAATTTTTCAGATGTTGTGAGGAATAATACCATCATCAGTACAACTGTCACGCCACAGACCACCCCAACTGGTAATGTAATCTTCTTTGTCCTTCGTAGACACTTTTTTTTTGTCTAACTTTAGGAAGATCTACGGTGGCCGAGAGAGCTCAGTGCGCTGCAACTGAAGCAAACACATGCAAATAGAAAAATACGCGTGCAAATAGAAAAAAAACACATGCAAGTAGAAAAAACCGCGTGCAAATAGAAAAAAAACCACCTGCAAATTAAAAAAAACATCATCATCAGTTTCACAACAAAATACAGAATACGCTCCAAATACAGAAACGCGCTGCAAATAACAGACCACAACAAAAAATGTTTCCAGGGGAACCAAATAAGTGACGAACCTGGCTGGGACGTGCTTATTGCTCGTGAGCTTCCCTATGCCATACTCCCTTCGAAGGGCAGACGGCAGAGCCCTTAAAGTGGGCCTTTGGAGTGAGCAGGGCTCTAGTGTGCCATTATAGCCATGTGGAACGCACTTGATGAAAGAGCAATGAAAGACAACGTAATTCCCCATTATTTTCACTTGGGATGTTCCCATGACAACGCAGCACGGTGTCCATCAGCTGAAGAGCTGTTCTTATACCACAGAAATATAATGCTGTTAACATAACGGTTGCAAATACATTTTTATGTTTACTTTACAAAAAAGCTTTTAAAATATGCATGTATGTGTGTCTCAACTTTAAAACTTTGGACCCTACATTACCTTACATTTCTTATGAAACTTTTCTTTATGAAAATTTAAACATAACATGAAACAATTTGTACAGTGTAACTGATGAAAGATAAATATCTTTTCTTCATGTTCTTCCTCTCTATCTTTTTTACTTATTTATTTTAGTTTTCAGCTCATTGTTCTTTTCTCATTTGTATTCTGATGACATTGAACATATTGTTAATACATTTTGTATATTGTATACAAGGTGTATGTCATAATGTAATCTCTGTATGTTTTGCAAAAATAAATAAATACATAAAGTAGAATTTTAAGCTGTATAGCACCAGCACGCATAGATTTATGGATATCTATTCCAGCCAAGGGGGTAATCCATCGACCGGAAGTTGAAGCCGGCCGGGTGCCGCCATCTTGTAGCAGAACTTCACTTGCGTTAGCATTTCCATTGACTCCCATTCATTTTGGCGTCACTTTGACAGCGAATAACTTTACATCTGAGGCGTTTAAAGACTCCATTTGTCCATTATTTATTTCTAAAGAAACACGACAATGTATAAATGGCTCCATTACCTTCTGTGTTACATTATGGCCCCGTAGAAACAGTTTTAGTAAAAATAGGCTAACGATTGCGTCATAACCACTCGACTCTCTGTCGCGAAATTACCGTACAGACAGGAGGAGAAGCTCGCAGGCAATCGGGGGGACGTCCCGTCAAGGGAGAAGCCCATAGATAATGAGTCCATAAAAGCAACGGAATACTGACTCCTGCTCACTCACGCCAAATAACTCTTTACTCAAGTTCCCCGTCTCTGCAAGATTAACGTTGGCAATTTTCACGCACAGCTACTAGAAGATTAACGTCTGTCAGACAGGTTGCTCACGTCATCAAGCTTAGTTTGAGTCGGTTTGAGTCTGCGCGTCAGGAACGGAAGTGCTCAAAAATCGCTAAAAATGGGCTTCAACTGTCTCAACTGAGTTCCAATGAGATGGCTCTGTCCACTTCTTATACTGTCTATGATTCCAGCACGTCCCAGCCAGGTTCGTCACTTATTTGGTTCCCCTGGAAACATTTCCGTTGTGGTCCGTGTTATTTGCAGCGCGTTTCTGTATTTGGGTGGTGTTGTGAGTATTTGGAGCTCATGTGTGTTGTGAAATTGATGAAGATGTTTTCTTAATTTGCGGGGGTGTTTTCTATTTGCATGCGTTTTTTTCTATTTGCATGTGTTTTTTTTATTTTTATTTGCATGCGTTTTCTTCTATTTGCATGTGTTTTCTTCAGTTGCAGCGCGTTGAGCTTTCTCGGCCACCGTAAAGATCTGTATAATTGGAAAACGAGGAACAAGTGTATTTGTGTCTCTGGGTTACCATTCTGACATATCAGAATGGAATGTACAATCTTGAATTTAACATACTTAACAGGAAAAGGAAATTTGAGTAATTGTTAATAAATAGTAACAATATTAATAATTAAAGCTACACTATGCAACTTTTTTTAAATTAATAAAACAGCAAAGGACGTAACCGAAATCGGTAACACTTTATTTTACGGTGTCCGTGATACAGAGTAATTACGTAATTAATTGCTTAGTAGTAGACGTTGTAATAACATGTAACAAAATGTAATTAACATATAATTAAGTTATGGAACAGCCTGTACTTACAGATTGTAATTACACACATGCAATAGGCAGCTACTGCTACACATATGCAACAGGCCGAGTCGGTTACATTCGTGTTACCGACTTGGTACAATGTAATTATATAAGAAAGTACTTGTACTACTCAATGTAACAAGTACTTAAATATGTTACTACAGTGTGAAAAAAGCCTGCAGTTACACATGTTCATTTTGTACCTTCTGTAGGCTGTTACACGGATGTAATATAAAATAAAGTGTATCAAAGTTGTACTTAAGTGCACTTCATGTGTATCTACCTTATCCATCTGAATTAACCCACTAGTTCACAGCTTAAATATATGCAGTAGCTTCTTAATTACATTAAATTTACAGAATATTACACAGGTATAAGCTAGGTAAAATAAAGTGTATCAAGTTTGTACTTACTACATGTGTATCTACAAACCTTATCTTACTGTGCAGGTAGATTTCCTAATATGCTTTGGTCATTTGTATTTTAGGTTGTGTTTTAAAATGATTGACATTTAATTATTATTTTTACTTTATAACAGAAGTTACAAGGTCGCCATCTGAATCTACAACAACATCTGAAACAACAGTGACACTAACACCCATAGAATCCATTACAAGCCGAGGTAAAGTTTTGAGTTTATAAGTTTGTTAGACCAAATTTCTGCCATGGGGTCTACTGTGCAGGTAAACATATCTGCATTTCCCTATGTATAAGTTTACAGTGTATCTGTGTACTGTGTGTCTTTGTTAATTAACCAGTGTTCATCATGCCACAGAGCATCAAAAATGACTGTACTTCATTGTGTGTCCTGTTTGAACTATTTTTTTTTTGGTTGAATGCATAGGCAGATCTGTATAATGCAACAGTGGCTGTGTCTGTTGGTAAAATTGATAGATATAAAAAAGTGAAATGTGCAAACCACCATCTACAGTACACATTTAAAGACCATTAAAAATAAACTTTATTAAGGAAATCATAACAACAAAAGTAATCAAATAATCAGTGTTCTTTGCAGTCATTTTTATTTAAGAAATGCGAGAAACTTAGCAGTATAGAAAAGCAATTACAATTAATACGACATTTGTGACAGTATCTGTAAAGTAAAAATACCTCCCTTTGCTGTCTCTTTTTTTCTCTTGACACTCTTCTCCTAAAAGCAACAACTCCCAGCTCTGACCCATGCTCTGGTTATAATATTCTTGATGATCAGTGGAGAGACTTGCATCAGACCTACAATTACTATGGCCATGATGACACTCTTGTTGAATGGAATGGCTGGTATCGACTGTATTTGAATGGAAAAACTGCTCAGATGTCTGAGTGGTGTGTGAGTACCACAGGATGTGGTGGTGATACTGGACTGTATCTCAATGGTTCTCATCCCCGTCTTGAGGATGGGGTGGTGACCCGTGAAGTCTCGGGAACTTTGTCGTTAGGATCGTGGTGGTGGTGGCGGTGGAACTCCTTTCAATGTGGCTACTATACATCCACCTCCATCCAAGTCAAAGCATGTGCAGGAGATTATTACGTCTATAAACTCACCAAACCCGATGTGTCAATCCCTCGGCCTACGTACTGTGCAGGTGCATTTTTAACTTGTGTGTTTTGTATAGATTACATTTATTATTCCCTATATGAAAGATTAATACTTTGGTACTGCTTAACTTTACTCCCTGTACATATACAAATGTATTGGAAGTTGAATGTTGAACCTTTTTATTGATCATGGATGTTTTAACCAGTTAAATAGATATCACCATTATGCACTTTTCAAAATAATATTATTTTATAATATAAATACCATAAACCATGATTATTAACAGCCTTTTTCTCTTTAACAGTTGCTTTCAACAACATCAGCAATGATCCTTGTTCCAACTATAAATCTCTGGATCGTCCCTGGAGAGCCACGAATGAAAGTGGATTGTGGATTTGTGATGAAAACTTCTCCTGGAGCGGCTGGTACAGGCTTTTCTACAATGGAATGAACATCCGCATGCCAGAGAGCTGTGTTAGAGCATACAGCTGTAACACAGATAAAAGTCTGTGGCTCAATGGTCCTCACCCTCAGATAGAAGATGGAGTGGTGACCAGGGAGGTCTGTGGAAGCACATGGAATGGCTGCTGCAATTTCAAATCAATACCCATCAGAGTCAAAGCTTGTCCGGAAGATTACTATGTCTATGAATTTGTAAGGGCACCTTCACACTTTTGTTCAGGCTACTGCACAGGTACTATTATTCTGTATTACTTTTTTGAATTATTCACAATATTTATATTATTTCACTAATCTCTTAAAATTCCCTGGTTTCAGATGACAGCACTATATCAAGGGATTTTACCTCTACAAGTCCAGCTACAATTATTGGATCCAGCATGAGTAGGTTTTTCAAAGTATTTTTTCTTTTGTTCAAAGATCACTAAACATAACATCTTTTTTTGTCTTTAATGCATTAAGTGAAATGTACGGTGACCGGGAGGGGACATGTTCGGTTTACTTAGTTTTGTCGTGGCCATGACATATTAACTTGTGGGAACGTGATAACAGGTCCTGCCCACGAGATATTAATTTGTGGGAACGTGATAATATGTCCTGGCCATGAGATCATTTTGTTGAGGTAACATCATCCTGTGTCTCTGACTCTTCCATTCAGACAGGGGCGCCCTGAATTTAGTGATTCAGGTTGTAAGATTTTATTTATTTTTGGTTAGGCTGTCTGGTTTGAGGAGTTGAGAGAATTGGGAATTGAGACGGTGAGTTTAGGCACACACTCAGGCGTGAGTATGGGACACTAGGTCCTTGGATGCAGGCTGGTGTCTTACCGAAAGCCATCGGAGGCAGATGGTTGGTGATAACTCAACTCCATTGAGGAGTCGGAGGGACACTGGAAGCCATCAATGGCAGAAGATGTTGGAACAATATATATGTTTATATATATTGCAGCTTAAATATTATTTTTTAACATTAGCCTAGTAATAACAACAAACTATCCAAACTTCATTCAAATGTTCTTACGAGCACCAGCTTATCTATACATTTGTAAATGAAAACAGACGCTAATGTATCGTCACATACTGGCGTAGCCTACAGAAATACAGGCATAAAGGAAAAACTTTATTTTCATGATCATTTACAGTATTTACAAAATATATACTTTAAGTAAACATAATATAGGAACATTAATTAGGTAAAAGGCATACATGAAATAAAGGGGGAAAAAACAAACACATAATTCATAATAAATATAACCAATAATAATAATAACAATGTAAAATAAAAATATATATAAAAAAGATCAGTGATTTAAAAGACTGGGATGGGATATATAAAACTATTTTCTTGTAGGTCTATATTATTTTATGTTCTATTCTTTTAACATGTATTGCTAATAACAGACTGTTATTCGAATGCTGTCTATGGCAAGTCTATGACTGTCTATGACAGAGGATCTTAAGGTCACGACTTCACATCGCGTGGCCATCACATAAGGATGTCGTTATCTCGACAAAAATGATCTTGTGGCCAGGACATATTATCACGTTCCCATGAATTAATAGGCTGTGGACACAACAAAACTAAGTGAACCGAACATGTTCCCTCCCAGTCACTGTAGACATTAATGAAAATTATAGCATTCCTTAAATCAAATGTTAGGAGGAATTAATAATGAGCTTATCGCGTTCAGTACAAGGTAGTCTCACATATATTTTGACTGTTGTTAATGTTGCCAATCACAGCTCGCTTTTTCAAAGTGGCTATTCAAATAAGCAGTCCCTGCGAATGCTCCTGCTTTCCTGCTTCCCCTCTCCTAATGCAATGTCTGTACTAAACAGGACAAGCAAGAGTATTAGCTAAATGGCCAGTGTCACTAACTGACACATTAAATGTAGCTTAGATGAAACCTAATGTCAAATCAGGAAAGCCTAGTGACAGTCTCAGTTTTCACTGTTCCTTTCTTAAATATTTCATGACGCTTTTTATGAATTTTAGCAATGCTAGTACAGTCACATGGTGTATCCATGGCTTAAATATCTCCCATTATTGTGAAATGAAAGGATTAAGGTACATTTTACACATTACATTTCATCCATTTCTGTCTCATCAGATGCTATCAACACAGATCATGACCCATGTTACACCTACAACATTCTTGACAACAACTGGAGAAGCACATTTAATTATTGGTCTCAATATGGATATGATGACACTTTAGTTGAATGGCATGGCTGGTATCGTCTTTTCATTAATGGATCGAGTGCTCAGATGCCTGAGTGGTGTTTCAGTTATATGTCATGTGGAGGTTATAGTTCTCTGTGGCTTGATGGCTCTCATCCTCAGCTGGAAGATGGAGTTGTTACTCGTGACGTCTACGGCTCTGTTAATGACCAGTGCAATTCCTACAGATCTGACCCAATCCAAGTCAAAGCCTGTCCTGGAAATTACTATGTCTACAAATTTACAAGGCCAAAGCCATTGATCCCAGCCCCTGCTTATTGTGCAGGTACAGCCATTCTCCTATGTGTTTTACTTACTTATTATGAGTTAAATTGTGAGCTTTGATATAAATACTGCATTTATAGACCTAAAGATTATTGTATTTGCTGTGGAAAGGATTTGTGTTTGTTTTTGAAGAAAATCTTAGCAAATTTTTTACTGTTCCTTAAACAGTTGTTTTCACCACTCCAAGTGCTGACCCTTGCTACAACTATAACAGTCTGGATGAACCCTGGAGAGCCACCACCAGCCCATACGACAATAAATATAATCACTATGGAATATGTGATTATAATGCCAACTGGAATGGTTGGTACAGGTTGCTCTACAATGGTCAGAGTGCCCAGATGCCAGAGTCATGTGTTGGTTATGGCATGTGTGGCACTTATCACCCACTGTGGCTCAACGGCCCTCACCCACAGCTAGAAGATGGAGAGGTCACCAGGAAAGTCTGCAGTTCCACATGGAACGACTGCTGTGGTTACAAGTCTCATCCCATACAAGTCAAAGCTTGTCCAGGAAACTATTATGTGTATGAGTTTGTCAGGCCACTCTTCTGCTCTGCTTATTGTGCAGGTATTTTGGGGTTTAAAGCATGTCTCATTTTTAAGAATGTTTTTCCACTGTGGCTAAAGAGTATATATATATATATATATATATATATATATATATATATATATATATAAATCTGCTCTTTCATTTTCTGATAATTATGATACTGGAAACTGGAAAGTTACTTACCATTGCTCAGCCACATACATTTTTCATAAAAATCATTATTATTAGTAGCAGCAGCAGTAATAGTAGAAGTACTAGTGGTAAATATCCTCATTAATTTTTGTGTATGCTTTAAAAATATGATGGTCATTGGACCAATATAAATATTACAGTATGCATTTTTTTTATGTTTACAGAAATTAGCACCACAAATACTACAAGATCAAGTAATTCTTCAGGTATTTTAACACAATAAAATAAAACATAATGTGACATCACATGGTAAAATAAATAAATAGCTAAATTGTCTACTAATTATCTCAATAATAAATGTGATCTGCTGTGTGAGCTTTATTGCCCAACAATACCACATGTTTCTGACTATACCACAGTTCCTGGAACATTTTATCCATTTGGACCTGAAGACACAGAGAATGATCGTTCTGATGATGGAATTTCACCAGTGATCTTCCTTCAGCAACAGTTCATATTTTTTGGACAGGCATACAACCAAGTATATGTAAGAAAATCTGATTTTATTTAACCTTGGCATTCACAGTGAGTTATAAATGATTTTCGTAATAGTTCCATTTCAAGGGAACGTTGTGTCATGTTGACGCTATGGGAACTCTTCAGTGTGCCCGGAGTCTAAAGCACATGTTAAATCACGCCAATCCTATTGGTGACAAAGAGTACCGCATCAACAAGACCATAAAAGGCCACCTACGTCAGGGAATACCCAGCTTCAGAGGCTGCATGTCTGTTTCAGTGTAATTTTTTTTTGTCTAAATTGTACATCCTGATTGCACGTCCCTTCCTTTCAGTGTAGTATGAACATAGTTTTTTTTTTTTTTTTTTTTTTTACATTTTGAACAAGAGCAAAAAATTACGAAAGCTTGTTTGAGTGTGCACAACAAGTTACAATATTGAGTTCTGATTGTTCAAACGCTGTTATTTATAGTTCGTTAATTTTTCTATAATGAATTTTAAAATGTAATTAACATAAATGTTACGTAATACACAACACTGTTAATCTTATGGGGATAGTGGGGTGGGGGGTTACAGAGAGGATGCTTTTTGAAAATGTTTTCAACAAGGGGGATGCCATACGCTATACTCTTAGTCACCTCACCTGATTTCACACATGCTTCAGACACCAGCGCACGCTGAAGCCATTCCCAGAGCATCAATGCCATGACGCAGCATTTCTTTCCCTTCTCTTCCGCTTACTCATCAATATTGCAAACTTTAACACTCTCATTTTAGTCTATTTCTAACTCTTACTTTACATGTATAACTTAATAAAAGAAAAAATTATAGTTTGTAGTAAATGATGGCTCTGTTTCTGCTTGTCTGGATAAGCATGGTAAAAGTATTGTGTCCATGGAAACATTATCCTTATTTCAGATCAACAACAATGGATACTTGACATTTGATTGGCCGTGGTACAGCTACATTCCATACCAATTCCCAGGTTATGGTGGGAGAGACATCATTGCTCCATTCTGGACAGACATTGATAATCGTGGCAATGGTGTCATTTCGTATAATCAGTACACCTCTGGAAGTGTCCTTACAGACGCCACACAGGACATTAACCAATACTTCCCTGACCTGAGCTTTTCTGCTACGTGGGTCTTTGTTGCAACGTGGGACAGAGTAGCATATTACCCATATTCTGGAACCGTAAGTAACCCAATCTGGTTTTGTAAAATCTTCTTGTTCTTTTTTATAGCATATTTGAGAAATCAAAATGAATTGTGCATTGTATGATTACTGTTTTTGTTACATTTGGAAAACAAATGTTGGCCAAAATGTGATTTTTTCAATTTGTCATTTTCAGGAAACATCTTTCCAAGTGGTTTTAATTTCAGGTGGTCATTTATCATTTGTTTTGATGAATTATGGAACAATTGTGCCAACTCAACGATATGTACAGGTGTGCATAACATAACAAGTTGAAATTATTCCAGTTGACTAACTTAAAAAGATTTTGTTTGATAATTTTTTCTTTTGATTAATTATTATAGGCTGGTTATGACACCATCAGCTCTAGATACCATTTCTCAATTACTGGATCGCTACAGAGTAACATCACAAGCTTAACATACAGCAGTAATGTCAATGTGTCAGGCAGATGGGCATTCAGAACAGATAATGGACTACGGGGTTGTCAATTTAATGGTAATGTCATTATTTCTCTTTAATTAAATTACTTTCTATTTGCTGTGACCATTGCAGTGGCCACTTTCCATTACAGTGTGGCTTATTTGTAAAAAAAAAAAAAAAAATCTTGTGAGAAAAAGAAGTTTTGTGTGAAACTATTGTAGGGATTCCAGTGCAACTTGGGGACTCTTTCTGGAGTGATGCCACCTGTCAGCAGAGATGCACCTGTACCAGCAGAGGCCTCCAGTGTAGCCATGAGCCCTGCAGTTATTCCCAAGCCTGCCGTCCAGCTGCCTTCCAATTCTCTTGCCAGAACATTCAACGGCAAACCTGTACCATCTCTGGTGACCCTCACTACTATACCTTTGATTATCAAGTTTTTCACTTCCAAGGGACCTGCACTTATGTTCTGTCTGAGGTTAGTCTTTCTCTATATGGCTTTCTGTTTATAGTATAAAAGGTATGAAACAACTCAGTAATCCTTGAATTACTTAGGCTTGTGGCAACGGTTTGCCATACTATCGCATTGAGGGCAAAAATGAGCATCGGGGCAGCACACATGTGTCATGGACACGGATGGTCAGAGTGTTTGTCTATGACGAAGTAATTGAACTGGTCAAAGATCACTATAATGACGCAAGGGTTAGTATGACAATTCTGCTTTAATTCTCATTTGAATGCAGCCTTCTGTACTAATTCCTAATTTCCTTTTTTTTCCAACATTGTCCAGGTTAATGGAAGCTTTGCAGCAACCCCCTTTGCCCTCCGCAATGGCTCCATTCAGGTCTATCAGTCAGGTTTTTCTTTGACCATTAGCACAGACTTTGGTCTGGTTGTTACATATGATGCATACAGCTACGTCAGCATCTCTGTACCTTATGACTACCTTAACGCCACCTGCGGTCTGTGTGGAAACTTTAATCTGCGCCCTGAAGATGACTTCCGTTCACCCAGTGGGGAGATCTTGAGCTCAGATGTGGACTTTGCCAACAGTTGGATAGTGCAAAGTGACATAGATCCTGAATGCCATAATGTCAGGTGCACGGGTCTGGCTTGTGCTGTTTGTACCACTGATGAAATTAGTGTTTACAGTGACACCAACCACTGTGGAATCTTAGGAGATGTTGCCGGCCCATTCGCCTCTTGCCACCCTGTGCATGTGCCACAGACCTTTATAGAGAACTGTGTCTATGATGTTTGCTTGGGAGGAGGGTACCAGCCCATTCTGTGCCAGGCTCTCAATGTGTATGCTACTCAGTGTCAACAGCAGGGTGTACACCTTGGGCAGTGGAGACAGCAGGGCTTTTGTGGTAGGCATCTTGTTGAGATGAATGATTTGTCTAACTAAAAGATTACAGGGACTGATTAGTAATCTTTATTTTCTTCTGCCATTCCCAGAGATTCAATGCCCTCAACACAGTCATTTTGAGCCTCAAGGAACAGGCTGCCCTGCAACGTGCAGTAATCCATCTGCCCCACTGAACTGTCCCTTGCCCAATCAGGAGAGCTGTATATGTGATCCTGGATACATTCTCAGTGCTGGAGAGTGTGTGCCTGAAGCAAACTGTGGCTGCACCTTCGAGGGCTTCTATTACACTGAAGGACAGTCAGTGGTGTTGGACGGTGACTGTGGGAGACGGTGTGTATGCAGCAGCATGTCAATGATCTGTCATCGTCAACAGTGTGGTCCAGCAGAGATGTGTGGAGTCCATGATGGTGTGAGAGGCTGCAGACCCATCGGTTATGCTACCTGTTCGGTTGAAAACCTAGGGTCATATCATACCTTTGATGGACAAAGTTTCAGATACCACGGAGCTTGCGGATTGACCCTTGTTAGAGTGATGGGGCCATCCCCCCTACCACACTTTGTATTGACAGTGGAGAAAGTACCCAGGGGCCTTCATGACTTTGCCAGGTTCCTGAAGTTTGAGACAGAAGGAATCCAGGTCGCCATTGAAATGGGAGAGGGCAGCAATGTAAAGGTTAGGCAAAAATATCAAGTCACTAAACTTTTATTTAGTAAAAGAGCATAATTGCATTATTTTTCAAATTCATATGCTAAATGGAAAAGTTTATCTGTGTATCATTCTCTTCAGGTGGATGGACAGATGGTTGGTCTGCCTGTCACTGTTGGCTCTGGTCAAATCCGCATCTATCACAGTAGTGTGAGGGGTTTTGTTTTGGAAACAAACTTTGGGGTGACCGTGAGAGCCGACTGGCCACACATTGTCCGAGTCACAGCACCAAGCACATACAACGGTACACTTGGGGGTCTGTGTGGGAACTTGAATGGAGACATTGCTGATGAGTTTTACACTCCAGACGCTGTCCTTTTGAATGACACGCAGCTGTTTGCGGACAGCTGGCGTGATGGATCCCTATCAGCCCACTGTGAGGACCCACCTGACATCTGGGAACCAGGACATTATCAGAACAGTAGCCAGTTCAATGAACAATGTGGTATCATGGCTATGGACGATGGACCATTTGCTGAGTGCAGCAGAACACTAGATCCTCAGCAGCGGATAGCAGATTGCATTAAATTGCTGGAGCAGACTCAAGGTTCCAGAAAGGCCCTATGTGAGGCCCTGCGAGGTTACACGCTGCTTTGCCAACAGAATGGCATTGCAGTTGAAGAGTGGAGAAGTTTCATCCACTGCGGTAAGCATCTGCTCACCTACATATGAAAGCGCTATATAAATGCCTCATTCATTCATTCATTCACCTTAAACTCTCATTAAGCTCCAATATGCTTCTGTCATTGTTTTTATGCTTTTGTAATTTCAGAATCCACCTGTCCGGCAAATACCCATTATGAAGTGTGTGGCACGTCCTGTCCTGCTTCCTGCCCCAGCCTCTCATTTCCATTTCAGTGTGCCTTGCAGTGTCAGGAAGGATGCCAGTGTAATGATGGAAATGTGTTAAATGGAGATCGCTGTGTGCCCCCCACGGGTTGTGGTTGCCACTACTCTGGGCGTTATCGGCAGGCTGGAGAGAGGTTCTGGCATGGTGAAGAGTGTCAGTTCTTGTGTGTTTGTGATGGAATCACTGGAAACGTTCATTGCACACCATCGTCTTGCAGCGAAGAAGAGGTCTGCCATGTGTTGGATGGCGAGTATGGCTGCCATCCTCATCCACATGCTCGTTGCTCTGCTTCGGGTGACCCCCACTACATATCATTTGATGGATCCGTCTTTGACTTCCAGGGCACATGCCGCTATGTGCTAGCAACAGTATGTAATGACACTATTGGGCTTCCGCATTTCCAGGTGGATGCAAGGAACGAGGCGTGGCATGGACTCCGGGTGGCAATTACTGTTGAAGTTTTTGTCAATGCGTCTGGGCATCTTGTGCACATGTCACAGGACATGAACGGTCATTCTACCGTTGAGGTAATCAAGCATCACTCACTGTAATTTTCCTTTATTTATTGGTGATAGATAAAAACATAATTGCAATGATCCACAAGAGATTTTCTTAAAACACAAAAGACTTTCTTCTGCCTTGTATTATATCTAGAACACACCCAGAAGTGCGTTCCTATTCTAGCCTTAATGTATTTAGTATTTAGTTATAAGCAATATTCCCTTTGCTTTTAAATAAGCTATTGGTTTTATTCTCTTTTCAAACAGGTTGATGGAGAGACCAGAAACCTTCCCATACTGCTTGACTCTGGTCGGGTGTCAGTCTATTCCAGTGCACAGTACACATTTGTATCAACTGACATTGGTTTCAGCGTGAGTTATGGCTCCTGGGCAGTGAACATCATTGTACCAGCAGAGTACAGTGGGGTTACGTGTGGCCTCTGTGGCAATTTCAACGGCCAGATGAACGATGACTTCATGATGCCTTCTGGGGCTCTGGTACGCTCAGCAGACCAGTTTGGGGCAAGTTGGAAGGTTGAGGATGAGCTGCCATGCAATGATGGGTGTGGAAACAATTGCCCTTTGTGTCAGGATGAGACAACTTCCCGTTCCCTGTGCGACATCATCAGGTCCAGTGAGGGCCCATTTAGCTTCTGCCATGTGTATGTAGATCCTGAAGCCTACTTTAATGACTGTGTGTTTGATGTGTGCCTTTCTGGTAACCGGAATGATGTCCTATGTCGCTCGATCCAAACCTATGTGAGTGCCTGTCAATCTAACAATGCTGTAATCTACCCCTGGAGAGAGAGTACATCCTGTGGTGAGTGATATCATTTTAGGTTATTTCCTTTAGTGTGTCATTAGTTTCTATTGTGAACAAATGGTAAACATTTATATGACATGCTTGACATCTAATTATTTTGTTTGTTACATTACCAGCCATGACCTGCTCAGAGAACAGCCACTATGAGTTGTGTGGCACAGACTGTGGTCACACTTGCGCCAGCAGCATTGATGCTAGTTGTGAGCACACATGCTCAGAGGGATGCTTCTGTGATGATGGATTGGTGAGGAGTGGAGGACGCTGTGTACCAGTGGAGCAATGTGGCTGCCTTCATGATGGATTCTACTTTAATGTGAGGATTGAAACTCTCTTTTGAGAAAGAGACAAACAACTCCTCAAACATACTCATGTCCTCTGTTCTGGAAATGTAACGTTCGACCTTTTGTGGTATGATTGCATAGGTTGGCGAGCAGTTCTGGGATCTAGAATGTTCTCAACTCTGTGAGTGTTTTGCTCCAAATGATATGCGCTGCTCTGCTTCATCTTGCCAACCGACTATGGAGTGTACAGTCAGAGGTGGACGTCGGGGCTGCTATGGTCAGTGCACATCTGTGATATCGTTTATATTAACTTTTGTTAATTACATCAGCATTTGCTTTTGGGTAGATGATCACCATCTTTTTCATGGAAACTCCTCTTTACAGAAGAGAGCACCACACATATGACCACCACCAGGTCAAGTCTTCCCTCAGGTAATTTTGTAACAATTTAGAAAAAAATAATACACAAATATTAAAATAAGTTATGTAATATGTGATATCAGTGATGATATTTGAGTTTTTTTTACTCATTCTCACAGGTCTATTTGATCCATTTGGAGCTTGATTTTTGATTTATTATTAAAAAAAATCTGTATAAATCTTTCAAGACAGGTACACCATGAGCTTTTGAGGGGTTTTTTTTTCAATCAGTGGTAGAGTAAATGCTACTTATAAAGCCATAAGTTGCTAGATTGTCAATTCCTATTTAGTGTTAATTCCAGATAAAGAACTACACTGCCCATAATCCTTAAAAGAAAAATCCATTGTGAAATCGAGTACTTGCTTTTTCCAACTTTTTATATATTTGTGTATATTATTAATTTTCAATCTATTTAAAATTCATTGTTTTTATACTTATAACCGCTGATGTTACTTAAATAGTTATATAATTGTCATTTGCAATGCTTTATGGGACTGTAGTAAATTTCATCATGAAAGATGTACTGTATAGTGCACATTCTTGTGCTCTCGTCTTTCCCAGATTCTCACATACCTTTTTTCAGTCAAAGTTTGTAATGTTGTGATTTGTCTCCGAGGAGTTTGACTTTGTTCAGAACTCTTTATTGAAGAACTCTTTCAAATCCTTATGGATAAATTAAATAGAAAAATATTTTGGGGAGAGAGGGTGCAAATGACATTCATTGTTGTGCTCTATAGAGATGTCAGAGTTGGCATTTAATGTGGTAAAAAATCTTTTTCTCTCTACAGAACAGAGCACCACATACATAACCACCACCAGCTCAAGCATTCCCCCAGGTATTTTTGAAAGAATTTGTAGAAAAAAGACAGTTAATGCAAAGGTGAAGTCATTTGAACTGATATCAGTTTTGATACCCCCCCATAAATTCCCACAGCTGTGTTTTATCCATTTGGAGCTGGTGACACAGAGAATGATCGCTCTGATGATGGGAGTTCATCTGTGATCTACCTTCTGCAACAGTTCATATTTTTTGGACAAACATATAGCCGAATATATGTAAGTCAGTGTAATATGCCAGCTTTTTTCATTTGTGATTATGGTCTCAATATGGAGGTCACCTGTGAGGAAATAACCATTCATTGCATTTTTTCTTTCTGTTACTAATGACTTCTGAAAACTCAATTTTATTTATTTATTTAATTGTATGTATTATCCCTTTTGGTACCACTTTAGATTTGGTAACACTGATCCAAATAATTAGTGGTTCCTTTAGAAAGATGTAGTAACACTTGAGTCATTACTATCCAAAAGCTTACAATGACTTCAGTCGATATTAGGTAGTTATCAAGCTTTTCACTTGGTAACACTGATCCAAATTATGCGTAGTTCCTTTAGAAGGATGTAGTAACACTTGATTAATTGCTAATGGTTTACCATTACCTTATATTATACTTTATGCATTATTAATATTAATTATGAACCTGTATATAGTAGTTCTTAGTATTCCTCAGTGAGGTAGTAGTCCAGGAAAAGTAACTCATTTTGGAGCTAAAAATAGAACTAATTGTAAAATAATTTTTTTCAGCATAGATAATTTCTATAAGGTGTCCACAACAACATAAAAGTCCTAAAAAATCCTAGTTGAGGAAATATGTTAAATTCTCATCAATGCGAGATGTGTGCCAGACTAAGGCCACTCTAAACTAGTTTCTCCTCCATGTTGTGGAAAGAGCCTCTGCAGTGGAAAGATGCAGATGTCCACTGCACAGGTGTGCCAATGTGCTCCTAGCCTCCTCCTGAGAGCAACACGTTCCCCTTGTTCTGTTTTACTAAAGTGATTGTAAAGTGTGATTTATACTTCTGCATCAAATCGACGGTTTCACACTATAGTTGAACACAAAGAGAAGGAGCACACACATAGTGTATATATAATAAATAGTTTGTTATTACTTGTTACTGTTTTTCACTGCGCTCCAAAATTTCTTTGTGTGCTCCTACATTTTTTCATTTAGGAGCACATGTGCTCCTTGGGAAAAACCTTAGCGTAGAACCCTGTATAGGAAGGGACCATCCTGGTGGTGGTGGGGAGGATGGAGGGGAAGGAACCATCTTGGTGGTGGTGGGGAGGATGGAGGTGAATGAAAGCGTCAGCATCTGCGAACTCAAACATGTGCAAGTACTGGTCTTTTATACCGCAAGTACTAGACATGATTGGATAGATGAGAAGGTAATAAGTGATGTAGCAATTAAGTCTTCCTGGCAGAACTTAACGCTAAAGCTTCCATTTCCCGATACCCAAGAAACAGTCACAACTGACTTGAGTATTGCAAGTGAGCTATATGACCAAGTCATGTCCTCTAATATGCCGATGGAAGAACTTTGTTCTGCTGAAGTTTTGGAGAGTGTCCAGAGTGCACTCAACAACAAGAAGGAAACAATACATATGAGGACAGCACAGCTTTGGCTGCAGTACATGGACATGATTGATATTCTGAGAAACTTTATCAAAGCTGAGAGGACAGGCAACTGGAGATTGCACCTTCAGTGTGTTCATGATATGCTACCCTACTTTGCCGCTTCTGGACACAGACTATATGCAAAGTCAGCCTATGTATACCTGCAAATGATGACAGCCCTACCTTAAACACATCCAGATGTCCACAAGAAATTTGAGGAGGGATTTTACGTAGTGAGGCGGAGCAACAGGTTTTAAGCTGGACTGTCCACTGATCTCATTATTGAGCATGCTCATGAGAAGTGTAAAAACACATGGAGGCTTAACAAGAGGAAAAGGATTTACAGAGGCTCAATGTTTGGTGTGGGTCCTCTCATTGCCAGCATGTGCAAACAAACATCAACAATGCTATGCAGTCCTTCACGGATGTCTCATATGAGACCAGCGACCAACATAAAGGGGTGCCTCCGTGACCCCTGAAGACTATACCGGCGGGGGTTATACCCCTGGCAGGTACTACCAAGCCAGGCAGTTTTCAGGTTAGAGGCCAGTCTAAAAGCAGCATTGCCATCACCCATTGGCAGTAGGATGATTGGATGAAGATTGGGCTGATTTGTCATACATATGAATGGTGTTTCTGCCACTGCACATTAGGACATATTCAATAAGTGTGGAGCTCATGTGCATATTCAGATTTATTTCAAAAGAAACTTGTAATACAAAAAACGTTACTTTTCATGTATACTTTTACTTTGTAAAGTTTTATTGTGGTAGGAGTAAAGGGGAAAAAAAACTATTTGGGTGTATTTTGGGCATATTCGATTAGTGTATAGCTCATTTGCATATTAAAATTCATTTTCAAAGAAACTTGTAATACAAAAATATTTACTTTTCATGGGTACTTTCATTGTGTAAAGTTTCATTTTGATAGGAGTAAAGGAAAAAAATAGCCTCATTAGGGTGTATTGTTGCCTGGCCTTATTGGCATACATCTCGGATTGATGAGAATTTAACATATTTCCTCAACTAGGATTTCTTAGGACTTTTAGTATGTTGTTCTGGACACCTCGAAATGATCTAAGCTGCAAAAAATTATTTTACAATTAGTCTGTCGAAAAACGCTACTTTGCCTGGGCCATAGTTACTATAGTTCAACTGAGCGCTATTACTTACTAATTTGTTACTTAGAGTTTCTTGTTAGTTAGTAGTTACTAATAGTGTGTTACTTATTTGTTCCTGTGTTGTTATTCATTAATGAAGGAACAGTATTCTAAAGTGTTACCAGAAAGGGTGTATGATAAGAAATCTTTATCTCTTTCAGGTCAACAACAATGGACACCTGACTTTTGATGGGCCATTTAGCAGCTGGACTCCATACCAGTTTCCAAGTTATGGTGGAAGAGACATCATCGCTCCATTCTGGACAGATATTGATAATCGTGGTAATGGTGTAATTTCGTATCGTCAGTACACCTCTGGCAGTGTCCTTACAGAGGCCACACAGGACATTAACCAATACATCCCTGACCTGAGCTTTTCTGCTACGTGGGTCTTTGTTGCAACATGGGACAGAGTTGCATATTTCCCTCTATTAGGAACAGTAAGAAACCAATTTTATAAATTCTTTCTGTTCTTGTTGAATGAAAAATGTAATAAAATGATTGAACATCATGAAGCAAAGTTGCTACACATTACTGGGTAAATTTTTTGTGACATTCAGAAAACTTTCGTTGGTCAGCACTTTATTTTTATTGTTGTCTTTTTTCAGGAAACATCTTTTCAAGTGGTTTTGATTTCAGATGGCCATTTCTCATTTGTTTTAATTAATTATGGAACAATTGCGCCAACTCAACGATATGTACAGGTGTGCACAACATGGGAAATAAAAAAAATATAGATCTATGAGACTATATAAATAAGATGCTGAAAGCCTTGTCCTAATTTTTCACAGGCTGGTTATGACACCATCAACTCCAGATACCATTTCTCATTTCCTGGATCATTCTCCAGTAACATCACATACTTAACATACAGCAGTAATGTCAATGTGTCAGGCAGATGGGCATTCAGAACAGATCATGGATCACGGGGTTGTCAATTTAATGGTATTTTTTTTTTTTTTTCTCCCATTGATGTGATCCTAGACTGAATAAATCATTTGGCATTCAGTTGCCAATTTAAACAGTATTGTACATTACTGGTGAATCAAGAAGTCTTAGAAATGTTTTTAGATATTTATTCCCTAAACATCCAGTAATTTTGAGTTAATAGCCATGTAAAACTGTTATGCTGTAGGTATTCCAGTGCAACTTGGGGACTCTTTCTGGAGTGATGCCACCTGTCAGCAGAGATGCACCTGTACCAGCAGCGGCCTCCAGTGTAGCCATGAGCCCTGCACTTATTCCCAAGCCTGCCGTCCAGCTGCCTTCCAATACTCTTGCCAGAACATTCAACGGCAAACTTGTACCATCTCCGGTGACCCTCACTACTATACCTTTGATTATCAAGTTTTTCACTTCCAAGGGACCTGCACTTATGTTCTGTCTGAGGTTAGTCTTTCTCTATATGGCTTTCTGTTTATAGTATAAAAGGTATGAAACAACTCATTAATCCTTGAATTATTTAGGCTTGTGGCAACGGTTTGCCATACTATCGCATTGAAGGCAAAAATGAGCATCGGGGCAGCACACATGTGTCATGGACACGGATGGTCAGAGTGTTTGTCTATGACGAAGTAATTGAACTGGTCAAAGATCACTATAATGACGCAAGGGTTAGTATGACAATTCTGCTTTAATTCTCATTTGAATGCAGCCTTCTGTACAAATTCCTAATTTCCTTTTTTTTCCAACATTGTCCAGGTTAATGGAAGCTTTGCAGCAACCCCCTTTGCCCTCCGCAATGGCTCCATTCAGGTCTATCAGTCAGGTTTTTCTTTGACCATTAGCACAGACTTTGGTCTGGTTGTTACATATGATGCATACAGCTACGTCAGCATCTCTGTACCTTATGACTACCTTAACGCCACCTGCGGTCTGTGTGGAAACTTTAATCTGCGGCCTGAAGATGACTTCCGTTCACCCAGTGGGGAGATCTTGAGCTCAGATGTGGACTTTGCCAACAGTTGGATAGTGCAAAGTGACATAGATCCTGAATGCCATAATGTCAGGTGCACGGGTCTGGCTTGTGCTGTTTGTACCACTGATGAAATTAGTGTTTACAGTGACACCAACCACTGTGGAATCTTAGGAGATGTTGCCGGCCCATTCGCCTCTTGCCACCCTGTGCATGTGCCACAGACCTTTATAGAGAACTGTGTCTATGATGTTTGCTTGGGAGGAGGGTACCAGCCCATTCTGTGTCAGGCTCTCAATGTGTATGCTACTCAGTGTCAACAGCAGGGTGTACACCTTGGGCAGTGGAGACAGCAGGGCTTTTGTGGTAGGTATCTTGTTGAGATGAATGATTTGTCTAACTAAAAGATTACAGGGACTGATTAGTATTCTTTATTTTCTTCCGCCATTCCCAGAGATTCAATGCCCTCAACACAGTCATTTTGAGCCTCAAGGAACAGGCTGCCCTGCAACGTGCAGTAATCCATCTGCCCCACTGAACTGTCCCTTGCCCAATCAGGAGAGCTGTATATGTGATCCTGGATACATTCTCAGTGCTGGAGAGTGTGTGCCTGAAGCAAACTGTGGCTGCACCTTCGAGGGCTTCTATTACACTGAAGGACAGTCAGTGGTGTTGGACGGTGACTGTGGGAGACGGTGTGTATGCAGCAGCATGTCAATGATCTGTCATCGTCAACAGTGTGGTCCAGCAGAGATGTGTGGAGTCCATGATGGTGTGAGAGGCTGCAGACCCATCGGTTATGCTACCTGTTCGGTTGAAAACCTAGGGTCATATCATACCTTTGATGGACAAAGTTTCAGATACCACGGAGCTTGCGGATTGACCCTTGTTAGAGTGATGGGGCCATCCCCCCTACCACACTTTGTATTGACAGTGGAGAAAGTACCCAGGGGCCTTCATGACTTTGCCAGGTTCCTGAAGTTTGAGACAGAAGGAATCCAGGTCGCCATTGAAATGGGAGAGGGCAGCAATGTAAAGGTTAGGCAAAAATATCAAGTCACTAAACTTTTATTTAGTAAAAGAGCATAATTGCATTATTTTTCAAATTCATATGCTAAATGGAAAAGTTTATCTGTGTATCATTCTCTTCAGGTGGATGGACAGATGGTTGGTCTGCCTGTCACTGTTGGCTCTGGTCAAATCCGCATCTATCACAGTAGTGTGAGGGGTTTTGTTTTGGAAACAAACTTTGGGGTGACCGTGAGAGCCGACTGGCCACACATTGTCCGAGTCACAGCACCAAGCACATACAACGGTACACTTGGGGGTCTGTGTGGGAACTTGAATGGAGACATTGCTGATGAGTTTTACACTCCAGACGCTGTCCTTTTGAATGACACGCAGCTGTTTGCGGACAGCTGGCGTGATGGATCCCTATCAGCCCACTGTGAGGACCCACCTGACATCTGGGAACCAGGACATTATCAGAACAGTAGCCAGTTCAATGAACAATGTGGTATCATGGCTATGGACGATGGACCATTTGCTGAGTGCAGCAGAACACTAGATCCTCAGCAGCGGATAGCAGATTGCATTAAATTGCTGGAGCAGACTCAAGGTTCCAGAAAGGCCCTATGTGAGGCCCTGCGAGGTTACACGCTGCTTTGCCAACAGAATGGCATTGCAGTTGAAGAGTGGAGAAGTTTCATCCACTGCGGTAAGCATCTGCTCACCTACATATGAAAGCGCTATATAAATGCCTCATTCATTCATTCATTCACCTTAAACTCTCATTAAGCTCCAATATGCTTCTGTCATTGTTTTTATGCTTTTGTAATTTCAGAATCCACCTGTCCGGCAAATACCCATTATGAAGTGTGTGGCACGTCCTGTCCTGCTTCCTGCCCCAGCCTCTCATTTCCATTTCAGTGTGCCTTGCAGTGTCAGGAAGGATGCCAGTGTAATGATGGAAATGTGTTAAATGGAGATCGCTGTGTGCCCCCCACGGGTTGTGGTTGCCACTACTCTGGGCGTTATCGGCAGGCTGGAGAGAGGTTCTGGCATGGTGAAGAGTGCCAGTTCTTGTGTGTTTGTGATGGAATCACTGGAAATGTTCATTGCACACCATCGTCTTGCAGCGAAGAAGAGGTCTGCCATGTGTTGGATGGCGAGTATGGCTGCCATCCTCATCCACATGCTCGTTGCTCTGCTTCGGGTGACCCCCACTACATGTCATTTGATGGATCCGTCTTTGACTTCCAGGGCACATGCCGCTATGTGCTAGCAACAGTATGTAATGACACTATTGGGCTTCCGCATTTCCAGGTGGATGCAAGGAACGAGGCTTGGCATGGACTCCGGGTGGCAATTACTGTTGAAGTTTTTGTCAACGTGTCTGGGCATCTTGTGCACATGTCACAGGACATGAACGGCCATTCTACCGTTGAGGTAATCAAGCATCACTCACTGTAATTTTCCTTTATTTATTGGTGATAGATAAAAACATAATTGCAATGATTCACAACAGAGATTTTCTTAAAACACAAAAGACTTTCCTCTGCCTTGTATTATATCTAGAACACACCCAGAAGTGCGCTTCTATTCTAGCCTTAATGTATTTAGTTATAAGCAATATTGCCTGCTTGGCTTTTAAATAAGCTATTGGTTTTATTCTCTTTTCAAACAGGTTGATGGAGAGACCAGAAACCTTCCCATACTGCTTGACTCTGGTCGGGTGTCAGTCTATTCCAGTGCACAGTACACATTTGTATCAACTGACTTTGGTTTCAGCGTGAGTTATGGCTCCTGGGCAGTGAACCTCATTGTACCAGCAGAGTACAGTGGGGTTACGTGTGGCCTCTGTGGCAACTTCAACGGCCAGATGAACGATGACTTCATGATGCCTTCTGGGGCTCTGGTACGCTCAGCAGACCAGTTTGGGGCAAGTTGGAAGGTTGAGGATGAGCTGCCATGCAATGATGGGTGTGGAAACAATTGCCCTTTGTGTCAGGATGAGACAACTTCCCGTTCCCTGTGCGACATCATCAGGTCCAGTGAGGGCCCATTTAGCTTCTGCCATGTGTATGTAGATCCTGAAGCCTACTTTAATGACTGTGTGTTTGATGTGTGCCTTTCTGGTAACCGGAATGATGTCCTATGTCGCTCGATCCAAACCTATGTGAGTGCCTGTCAATCTAACAATGCTGTAATCTACCCCTGGAGAGAGAGTACATCCTGTGGTGAGTGATATCATTTTAGGTTATTTCCTTTAGTGTGTCATTAGTTTCTATTGTGAACAAATGGTAAACATTTATATGACATGCTTGACATCTAATTATTTTGTTTGTTACATTACCAGCCATGACCTGCTCAGAGAACAGCCACTATGAGTTGTGTGGCACAGACTGTGGTCACACTTGCGCCAGCAGCATTGATGCTAGTTGTGAGCACACATGCTCAGAGGGATGCTTCTGTGATGATGGATTGGTGAGGAGTGGAGGACGCTGTGTACCGGTGGAGCAATGTGGCTGCCTTCATGACGGATTCTACTTTAATGTGAGGATTGAAACTCTTTTTTTGACAAAGAGACAAACAACTCCTCAAACATACTCATGTCGTCTGGTCTAGAAATGTAAAGTTCGAACTTGTGTGGTATGATTTCATAGGTGGGCGAGAAATTCTGGGATCTAGAATGTTCTCAACTCTGTGAGTGTTTTGCTCCAAATGATATGCGCTGCTCTGCTTCATCTTGCCAATCGACTATGGAGTGTACAGTCAGAGGTGGACGTCGGGGCTGCTATGGTCAGTGCACATCTGTGATATCGCTCATATTAACTTTTCTGATTTGCTTTATCTTTGCATTTATTTTTATAATCTATACAATTAGTTTTCTGCTAGTGTTGTTTTTGTCATTATGGATTTTTTTTTTTTTAGAAACATTTAATAGTTAATGGTACACTTTAAGGACCAAGGCCACTGAAACAGTGGATGATCACTTTTTAATAGGCATTTCAGAGCTGGTAAAAATACTGTCAGGGTTCTGTCACTTCTGTCTTTATTTCTTGGTTTCACGAGTTCACACTTACAAATAAGTCAGATAGAATAAATGGTATGCATATTTGGCGTGCTCTCTGAGGAGAGGGCTCCGGGTTCGGTATTTTGACTTCCCCGTATTCCTGGCTGTGGAAGGAACAAGTCGAGAGTGAGGTGTCGGGGGGGTGGAGGGATGCTGAAAAACTTTCAAGGAATATAGGTGAGTCGACTGAGTGCCTATATGCTTCCTCTCATGCTGATGGGATATTCATGATGATTGTTGATGACAAGTTAATTGGATTTATTATTTGAACGTGCTCCTCCCGAACTTTGTCTTGTAAAACATAATTTTGTGACAGAGCCCTGACACTCTAGCCTGGGAAAAGCCTGGGAAAGCCAAAATGAGATTTGCTCTGAAAGTTAGTCTGTCAAAGAGCTCATTCAAGCCCATTTCCAATCCGTCGAAATTGAGGCACCAATCAGAAAGGTTGGGGCGGGCTTTACACGATGACGACAGCGCTGGGATTTTGAAGCAGATTTTGTAGCCTACATTACAAAGATGGATGCCGCCGTCGAACATCACTCGTTCGAATCAGCTATCGCGTCTGTTTTAAGCGATTTGAACGTTTCCTTTTTGTTAAAAACCAAGCAAAGAACAACACTTTGTTTCTCCGCCGCTCTGCATACGTCATCTCCTTCATCGCTCTGATTGGGTTTAGGTCTATCCGCGACGTCCGTTGGTGACGCCCCTCTGGAAATGATTTGTCTATGACGCTTTGCCAGAACTCAGTTAAAACTGAGAATGGTCTGATTTTAACCAGGCTACTGACACTCCTGTTTTCTCTTGTCCTTGTCCGAGCCGTGCGCTCTCTTGTCTGTATGCCTTGTTACATGTGCGGGGCGTGGTGTTTGGACCCCGGCACGTCAGTCAAGTTTGGTTTCGGTTCTGTTTCGGGATTCGGACATTCATGCTCCGCATGTTTGTATTCTGTTGTGTGAGCGCACAGGATGAGCTTTCGCTCGTTCTCATGCGCTCTGTCTTGTCACAAGAGCGTGCGGTTTCGAGTTCGATCGGGCCGCTCTGTTTGCGTGTGTTATGTCATTTCCTGTGTAGCACGCAGTTCGTGTTTACATCGGCCGCGTGCTTTCATGTCACGTTTTGTCTTGTGCTGAGTAGCACACAGCTTGTGTTTTACACTAAAACACAGTTTTTGTTGTCTGTTTTGTTTGATTTTATTATCATTAATAAGCCCATCAACTCTGCACCCGAGTCCTTGCTACTTTCATCACACCCATACCTGACAAATATGTAATATGACAAAGATAAAAAAAAAAATTCTCTGCACAGAAGAGAGCACCACACACATGACCACATCCAGATCTTCCACATACCTTCCCTCCGGTATTTTCTGGAAGATCTTGGTCTATTGGAGATCTTTTTCAAAACCATTTTCAATGGATATAATTAATAGGAAAAGTACTTTGAGAACTAAGGCTGCTGAACAAGTGGATGGTCACTATTGTGCACTAAAGGCATTGCTTTGTCTTCCTTTTACAGAAGAGAGCACCACACACATGACCACCACCGGATCAAGCCTTCCCTCAGGTATATTTGGAACATTTTGGGAAAAGAAACAATGAATGCAAAGATGATGTCATGTGAACTGATATCAGTGATTTGATTTCCTTTTTTTTTTCATCTAATTCTAGGTCTGTGTGTGTGTGTGTGTTTTATCTTTACAGTTAGACCAGTAAAAAAAAAAAATGAATGTTGAATGTTTTATTGCAAATATTACTATTTTTAATAAAGGAAGATGTTATGTAATCAAAATGTGTTTTATATATGTCCCAGTTATTGTCATACATCTTGTGGTTCTCCTCTGTTTGTCAGACCGCTGTTCTGAGCTCAGCTGCACTGAGGATGAACGCTGTGAAGAGAAACATGGTGTTTATGGCTGTTTCTGCAAGGACAACCATCACAGTTCTCAGCGTGGATCCTTTGGTTGGACTCATTCAGCATTTCAAATATACGTTCATCATTGATCACATTTTTGTTTTTTATCATTGTTGACATTCTCTTGAATATTTTTCTCTCTCAGATTTCTCTGAAACCTGTGAACGCAGCTCTGGCTCCATGTCTCTGTCTCGCTGTCAGCTTTTTGAGGCTGGTTTTCCTTCTGACATCTTACACCTCAATGACCCCAAGTGCAGAGGAACAGTCCGGAATGGCAGAGTGGAGTTCTATTTTGACAACAATGACCACATCTGTGGGACAAGTCTTGTGGTATTGCATACATGCTCAAATGATCAAAAGAACAACAAATCCTTTTTGCAATTCTTTTATAATTCTTTAAAAAGTCCTTTAATGTACAAATGTTCAAATAATATGTGCCTACAGGCCAATGGCACCCACTTCATCTATGAGAACTTTATTGTGGGAGAGCCAGACACAGTTGGACATCTCATCAGCAGGAAGAGAATTCTGAAGCTTTCTTTCAGCTGTGTGTACTTACAAACCCAAACACTCTCCATGGACATCAACCCTCTGGAGAGGTATGCACTAAATTCAGCCAACTTACTGACTAACTATTTAAAATATTCTTATTTGTAGTTGACACATCTCTTGTAAAATTATTCCAACAGCATTGTGCACAGGATCCTTCCTGCTGGTCAAGGGACATATCAGGTCAGGATGATTCCCTATCAGGATGCTGAATTCACCCATCCCTTCACTGGTAGTGTGAACGCGGAGCTGGACAGCCGTATTTTTGTGGAAGTTCGTGTTGATGGAGTTGACAGCCGTCAGTTTGCCTCAGTGATTGACACATGTTGGGCTACACCTGTGAATGATCCTCATTACTCTGTCCGCTGGGACCTCATCGTTGGCATGTAAGTCAGTTTGTTTGTTTGATCGTTTATCTTCCTTAGCACTTTGTATTTTGCCAGAAAAAAATGACATTCATTACTCTTAAAAATACTTGGGATCAAAACCAATGACATTTTTATTATTTACTTACCCTCTAGTCATTCCAAACCTTATCAAACCTAGCCATTTTTTTTATTATCTTTTTAATATCGTTATTCTACTGTCCCAAAATGCTCAGGTGTCCCAATCCAGATGACAATACAGTGGACTTGCTGCAGAATGGTGTTTCCACATCCAGTCGTTTCTCCTTTGAGATGTTTATCTTCACTGCAAACTCCACAAAGGTTTACCTGCACTGCGCTATTCACCTTTGCCTTCAGACAGACAATCACTGCTCAGTGGTGAGTTTATAAATTCATAAGTATTTTTAGATGTTTCTTATGAACATGGATATAGTTGTTGGTATTTGTACATCTATCAAGTTTCTTTAAGTAAAAGGTCAATACACAGAAAAGCAGACATTTGAGCTCCAGTCAATGGAGAAAAATGCCAATTGAATACAGTAGTTACACCATCTACCAGTAGAGGGCCTTATGGGGCCATGCTAACCAGCAAAACCTTGACCCCTTGGTTGACACAACTTGGTTGTATTTTCATCTGTATTTTAGCACTGTGACTCTGAACACCACCATAGAGAGGGCAGATCTGTGGACTTCCATGACAGTGCTTCCATATCTATGGGTCCATTGATGTGGTCTGACAGTAACAAAGGTGACTTATAAAACAAGAAAAAAAAAATTTTGTTCATATTTGAATATCAAATGAGCAAGTGTGTTGTAGTTCTGCACTGGTCTGGAACACAGTGGATGCAGAGGAATGATACAAACAGTAAAACATCTCTCAGTGCTGTTAACTGAAACATCAGCACTATTGAACCACTGCTTGCCCAATCAACTGACTGCTGTGTATATTCTCTGTTCACAGATACACAGGTGCCACGCCAAGTGCAAGTGTCCAAGGCTCCATGGCTGTGTGGTTCTCTGACTATATCACTTATTTCTCTGATGAGTGTCCTGATATTCTTCTAGAATATTTCCACTAAGAATCATCATAATTTTATCTAATCTATACTAGTCTAGTCTAAATCTCTTTTTCAATTAATGAGACACTGCTGATAAGACTTTTAATCTGACAGAATAATCATTTTATAAATCAAATCATTTTATAAATTGAGTCTAATTGCTATTGTTTGAATAAAGTATATAACAATGTGATAAACTGTCCATGTATTTTGCTCTTTGGTTTTAGTTACATATTTGTAATTTACTGTGTGTGTGTGTGTGTGTGTGTGTGTGTGTGTGGTGGGGGTGGTCAGTCCAGGTAAAGCCATACGTTATGACATTTTTTGGTCCCCATGAGGTAAACAGCTAAAACATCATATAGAATAATGTTTTTTGAAAATGTAAAACAGAAAGTTTTCTGTGATGGATAGGTTTAGGGGTGGATTAGGGGGATATAATATACAGTTTGTACAGTATAAAAATCATTATGTCAAGTTATATTTATTTATATAGCACTTTTACAATACAGATTAAAAAAAATGTGTGCTTTATTTAAACATTCAGTTTACAGTGTGAAACAACATAATAATAACACAACAACAGCATAGCAGAAAACAAAACAAATTTTTTTTACAGTGATGTAAACAAGAATGGGGAAAAAAGAGAAAAAAAGAAAAAGAAAAAAGAGGGCATTACTTAAATGAAAAGAAATCTAAACATTTAATAAAGTAAAAAGTTTGTAGGTCTTGCAAATTTTGCATGTTCTGAGTGCTTTTGGGTTAAGAGAGGATGAAATTGTAATCAAGTAATGTTTTATCTCATGTAAGAACACCAAAAAAAATGGTTTACAATTTGAAAACTTACATTTGTGAATATAAAATCTACATAGGAAAATAATTAGATTTATTATAAAGCAGGCATTTGAATCAGCTTTAAAAAAAAAATCCAAAAATAACAGTTTTGAGATTCATGGAGAAATTCTGCAAGATAATGCTTGAGATAAACCCACTAACATCTTTCCAAAGTTGCCGAGTAAAATTGCGTGACCAAAACAAGTGAAGAAGAGTTTCAGTGTCATTCTGACAGAAAGAGCAAGTAGTGTCAAAATCAGATCTGAATTTTTTCCTAAGGAAATTTTTAACTGGGTAAATATTATGAATTAATTTAAAGGATATTTCTTTTACTTTGTTTATGAGGAGAAACCTTTGTTGTATCAACGCATCCATATTTTTTTGCCAATTTAAATGATCAAAAAGTCCATTCCAATATGAGATTGCAGGAGGGGCAGAAATAATGTTCTCAAGGAATAGAACCCTTTCTTTATAATTCCTTCCTTTTTTTTCAGTGAAACATATCTCACCAATATGAGTGTTGATAGGTTCAGTGTTGATAGGCAAATATAGCGAACCCAAAGAGGGAGCATTATTTTTGAAAAGCATGAGTATGACAGATGGAATAGCATCCATAACTGTGGCAACTCTTTGGGAGTTACCGGTATATTCAGATTGTTTCAAAGCAGCTTTACAGAGATTCTTTGAAAAGTACTCATAAATCATGGAAACCCATTGTGTGTGTGTGTGTACACATTTGACATACAGTCTTTAAGCATATGGGATCCTCATGTTTGCATCTTGTTTTAAAGTTTAGGTTGATGTCAATCAACAACGGAATATTTATACAGACATTTTAAACGTCACAAGCTGTTTTGCAGCATTTTTCTCTGCAGCAGTCAATAACAGAAACATAATGTTCTTTTCTTGCATATATGTTACTTCTGTAAATAACTTGGAGTTTGACTAATTTCTCTTCATTCTTCACTGATACAAACATGATTTCACCACATCAATCAAATTGATACATTTTTAATGCATCATACAGCATAAATAATAAATCATTTTGCACAATTATTTATTAAAGGTACACTGTAACTTTTGTCCCTCTAGTCTAGCGGTTAAAAAAACGAACATGCACTTTGCTGAAGAAAATCGTTTTGGTTGTGCTTCGCTCTGTGTGATGTGCGGATGAATATGGTTATCCCACTGCTGCAACCATAATCAAATGACCCTTCACAATACACAATGCTTTACAGTGAACTCAGATAGCTACATATGGCAATTGATCTGGTCAATATAATCCCTTACTCACATGTTGAGAAATAAAAACACCATCTCCGCGTCGCTTTTACAACATTTCAAATCGCTTTAAAAGTTCTTGCCATCTCCGAAAAGCCAAGCTAATGTTGATTCTTGTTTTACTACCAGATCTGTCGCGTTCTCTTTTTGCCAGAAGACTCCTTTGAGTTGTGATCAAGCTATGCCACTCCCACACCATACATGTAAAAGCTGTAGCAACTTTTCTCTATTTATGGATATGACGAGACACGTACAGGCGAGTGATGCGCAATTTCCCGCAAAAACCATCCCCTCATTTCTAAAATATAAACACTTATAATAGGCTTACCATAGTGAATCTGGGTAAGTTCAATGAATAAATGTAAATGTAAGGCAGCAAAAGTGTGCTTTGGCATACAAAATGTCAACGGCAAAAAAAATAAAATAAAAATGTTTCTATGAGGGATGTTTTTTTTTACTTTAAAAAGTCAACTAAAGGCACATCATAACAGACATACCATAGATCTCCTCACACGACAGTATGTAATGAAAAACTGGTTTAACTGTGAAATAACTCCTAGGTCCGCCTACCATTTAAGAATTATAAGAATCGGAAACTTGCAGTTCAACATTATTGTATTCCGTTTGAACTGTTGAAGAGACAACTTCTAATGCCACATTTCAGCTCAGGTAAAGTTCATCTCATCTGACTCTGCTCTTATCTTTCAGTCAGTTGCTTTTGATTTAGATTATTACACAACAATTATTTTGCACTATTTTTTCCCCTTTTTTGTCTATGGGTCCTTGAATACTACATTTCATTGATTTGTTCAGCGAATTCTGTTACTTTGAATAATTTAAAGTGAAGTAGCAACCAACAATGAGGTTTCTAATCTCATTGTGCATGACACTACAGCTGCTGAATAATGGTGAGTTTTACACCTATAAAATTGCCAACCTGTGGCCAATAATCTGTGATTTAAGAATGACACACTGGCAAGATGTGTGACTGAAAGTCAATAGAACTGACTGAAATCTTTTTGTATTTAACAGTTGAAAGGATCGATGGACAAACATCAGGTAATCATTCTTCTAATTGGGTGGTTTGTCATGAACTAAAACCCTTCAATTATTTCCCTTCCAATCCTTTAAAATATATTATTTCAAAAAAGAATTACTATAACTAGTCAAGATGTTCTGGACTGACAAAATGCTTCAAAAGTAACCTACTGTATAATCATTTTTGTAGTCTTTTTTTAAACATTCATTTATAGTTTTGTGGATGTTTTTAATCTGCAATACTTTTAATGCACTCAACACTCGAATCAACAAAATCCGTCAGTGGTTGTATTGAGGCACCTGGACCAAACGTTCTTGTCGAAGTCAAGATACTTAGTAATTTTGGAAATATCAAATAGAAATAGTTCAGAAGTCCTTCATTCATTGGTAAAAAAACAAAACAAAAAACACTGCAAACAAAGTGTCAGTTCAGAAAAGCAATTTTATTTATACAGTTTGTTATATTTGTGCCTCTCTATTAACTGTCATCTTTTGTCTCTTTTGACACTATTCTCTTAGAAGCCACAACTTTGGGCACTGATCCATGCTTTGAATATACAGCGCTGGATAACTTATGGAGAGACATACGTGGTGATCAAGACAACCATGATGATGACACCCTTGTTGAATGGAATGGCTGGTATCGGCTGTATTTGAATGGAGAAAATGCTCAGATGTCTGAGTGGTGTGTGAGGGACAGAAGATGTGGTGGTGGTACTGGACTGTATCTCAATGGTTCTCATCCACAACTTGAAGACGGGGTGGTGACCCGTGAAATCTTGGGATATCATCTAATGGGTCAGTGTGATGAATTCAGATCCACCCCCATCCAAATTAAAGCCTGTGCAGGAGATTATTATGTCTATAAACTTGTCAGACCTGATGAGTCAGTCCACAGGCCTTCATACTGCGCAGGTGTGGCATTACACATTCACATTCTGCTCTGTTAAAGACTTCCAACCCAGGGTCATTAGAAAAAGGCGCCTCTGTCTACATTTTTGCACTCAACAATCCAAAAACATTCAGTACCTATGCAATTTAATTCACTGCAGGTTCCAGCTGAAACAAACAGTATAGGCTTTTATTCCATTTCAGACTACAGATTATTGATTAAATACTTATTTTCGTGTGGTTCCTTGCACTTCAAAAAACTTTTACCATATCGTACACTAATAGCTACAGTTTGACATTTGCATCACATAGCCAGCTCCAAATGTATGGCTTTTACATAGTGATCTTGTACGGTAGCTCACATAGAACAGGGTTGCATTTGTGATGCAGAGCGCTCGGGTAAGAGTCCCTTGAAACACAAGTCACATTAAAAGAGCTCAAAGACTTGGACAAGCAAGCAAAAATGGCACGGTTGCTTCAGCAAATGCGTTTTTATCTCAAGTTTGCTATTGTTAACACTATCGATTAGGTTTAGGGTAGGGTTTTGCAGGGGCACTATAACGGGACAGATGCCAATCCGACCGACCAATGATTGTGACAGGGGCTGTGGCTACCCAGCAGGGACGTGCACAGGGGGGTTGCTCAGGTTGCCTGGGCAACTGCCCATATGCCCTTCTCACTCAAGTTGCCCTTCTCACTCAAGTTGCCCTTCCGAGAAAAAAAAAAATCGTACAATGGATGCAGAATTTCACGTAGGCCTAGATTTTTTTTTAAAAATCGCAAAGCCTCATTCACTTCCATTCGGTCACCGAAAGTGAAAGTCAGTATGAAGGGCAAACGCTGCACGCGACCATAGACTGCACGCGACCGGCGTAGGGCCACGCAAATTACTTAAGGCCACGCCTCCATCTCGTGTCATAGTCATAGCGCGCCGTCAAATGTGTAGCTACAACATCCACGACAAAATGAAGCGAAACTATCCTTCTGGTCACGAAAAGAGGAAGAAGAAAAAAACCATGAGAGTGAATTGCGGGAACAACAATCAGGTAAACTTGTGTTCTCTCCTCTCTAAGTTTGATGTCAGCAAAGTTTGATGTTTTTCGGTCTTGCTAACTGGGCAGGCAGTGCATCTCTTGCATCACTTTGTGGCTGACAAAAGTGAGAGTAAAATACAATTATTTATTACGTTTGATTTTGATAAACGACAAAGTGCAACGGTGTTTGTTTACTGCAGCTCGGAAAACATAACCGCGTCGCGTGTGTTATCGTGCGTTCATATGCGCGTTGCCGAAATGAAACTCGCATTTTTCAAGCAGAAATATGTGGAGACCAGACATACTGTACAATACATGCACGTGAATGATGCCACTCCCAATCAAAGTACACATTATACTTTTAAAACAAGACACTGATTATCTAGTCTCAGTGTAGTTAAAAACTCTAAACAACTGCACTAATTATGCAAGATAGAAAGCAATCTATTGACAATTTGACATTGATTGACTATTGATTTATAGGCTATATTGAATTAAAAATGTTGATTAGCTGGACATACTGGTCAATATGGATGCACATCCCTCAGTAAATAATAACCATAAATCAAGAATTGCTTCAACATGCATAATAAAAAATAAAAAAATCATACTGATGTCGAAAATGCCCAGGCTGTAGAAAGAACCAAAGTTAATCCCAAAAGCCAAAGCTCAGGGTTATAATTTATTATTTTCTTCTTATTTATGTTTACGTTAATATTCACTTACTTAATAATATTCACTTATTATCTTAACATTCTATAGAAAATACTCTATTCAATAAATATTGTGTGTTTGAACCTCATTCTGTTCTATATTGTTGTACTTATTATTTGACTGTTTTGTTTAAAGGAGGGAGGATTGTATGGGAGCGCTGAAGTGTCAGGTGTGACTGTGTGGCAATGGCAAATGGTTTACATAGCTCATGACATCACAGGTCAGGTAGAGGCCCCTTAGCAGAATTTTGCTTAGGGCCCCAGGGGGAGGTCAGGATCGGCACTGGGTGTAGCAGTCGATTCTGTTCCTTACCGGAATTCCTGTTCCCTTTACACAATCATACTACAAATCATGCGTAGTTGCCCAGATGAGTAAAGAGCACAATTGAATGTATGGGAAGCCAAAAGGTTAAAAAGGATTGTATTTTTTCCGAAATCTAAGCGTTTTTTTTATTTTTATTAGAAGTGAATTTTCCCCCATCTGTCAATTCAATCCAGATTATTTATAAAAAAATAAAAATAAAAAAAAAAATAAAAAAAAAATAAACAATAATATGAGGAACTCTTTTTCTCATTTGTATTTTGGTGACATTTAACATATTGTTAATACATTTTGTATACTGTTTACAAAGTTGTATATCATAAACCTGTCATCTTTGACGTTTGCAATCTTTATAAATAATAATAAGACCATAATATGAGGCATTGCGTTTGGACATAAACACGATCAGATAAGGCAATTTGAATGGGCAAAATTCAACTGAATATATTCCTTCATATAGCCCGTGAGTTTTGGGGGTAGTGCCCTTTTTTCAGGTTGGAGCAACTGCCCCACAAAATTCCTGTGCACGTCCCTGCTACCCAGCAAGCAATAGCCGTCATTTCACAGTCTCGGTTAACTATATACCCGATAGTCCCCATATATGAGTAACCCACTTCAAGCCAAAATTGCCAAGGTAATATAATTTTGCAGAAATGTCAACAAAGGGCATGTTTTTCCAAATGAGCCTGGGTTGGACTTTTGTGTATCTGACATATTTATTCTCTCTGTTTCGAAAGTTGATATTAGTTTCTATTATATCCTTTTAACATTATTAAGAAATGTGCCTATTTTTAGCCATTTAGACTTGACATGCTAAAAGTAGTAACGCTACATCATTTTGCATTTAAGACAGGCTTACAATAATGTCACAGTTACTCCGAAAAACTTCACTAACATTCGCATCATTTTAGCATGTGGTATTTCAATGTAAAACCCATGTTTCTTATACAAGCACATGAAATCCAATTTAACCATGCGCTAAATGTGCTGAAATAGTGCTGCACCATGCATCATCATTTCTTTAGTGCATCCGGTGATGAAACAATGCACATATAGCTGTCACCGTGCTCGATTCAGTTTTGATGAAGAATTAAGATTTCTTTTTTCATCCTTAACAGTTGCTTTCGACAGCATCAGCAATGATCCTTGTTCCAACTATGAATCTCTGGATCGTCCCTGGAGAGCCACTAATGAAAGTGGATTATACATTTGTGATGACTCTTTCTCCTGGAAAGGCTGGTACCGGCTTTTCTACAATGGAATGAACATCCGAATGCCAGAGAGCTGTGTTAGAGCATACAGCTGTAACACAGTCCGCAGTCTGTGGCTCAATGGTCCTCACCCACAGATAGAGGATGGAGTGGTGACCAGGGAGGTCTGTGGGGTTGAGTCAGGCTGCTGTGATCACATTTCTTTACCCATCAGGGTCAAAGCCTGTCCAGGAAATTACTATGTGTATGAATTTGTAAAACAATCTTGGTGTGCAAGTTACTGTATAGGTACACTGTTTTACCCCATTTTTTCTAGTCTTTAAATTATTTCTTTATTCTTTAAATCATGTCTTCAAATTTCTTCCTTTCAGATGTCAGCACTATATCACCGACAGCTTCCATTACAACTCCAGCACCAGTTTCTGCATTCGACATGACTTTGTGTAGGTTGACGGACAGTCAAATTAACTTTCAAGAGGCCATCTGTAAAAAAATAATCGCTTTTGTATTGCCAATGTGTGAACAGCTTGTAACAATACTTTTAAAAAACGATACCTCTAGGTTGTATGAAAACCTGTAGACTGATTTTTATGTAAAGGAACTCCAAAGGATGTGACGGTTACGCGCGCTCCAGAGAACCTCTCTTCCGCTCAATGACATGAAATAACTGCTCATACAATATTTCATGCCAAAAGAGCCATTCTGTACTGTCAACATGTCATGCAAAGAAAATGGATTATTTCAAACTATAGTCTCACTATAGCCAGATCTTTAGTCCGTAGTCTCAAATATACTTTATAATCAAACTATCTCATGTTTTAATTACCTCATGTTGACATGATGCCGGGTGAATCGCAGAGCTGATGCAAACATATCCACAATATGATTAGATGATTTCTTAACTGCCGCTTTCTCCACGCTGTGATTTTTGTTGTGTTTATTTTGTTATTAAGTAGAAACCGTGCAGCACATTTGCACCGTCGCTCTCAGCAGCATGGACAGTGTCTGGATGTTCGCTGCAAAGGTAGCCTATTTCCACTTTTTACTTTTAAGGGGAGAACGAAAAAGATCTTCGACGTGAGTAAATCCGGTCCTTGAGCAGCAGTTTAATTAACAACCACTGGTGTCGCTAAAAACCAACACATTCTCATCCTTTGGCGTCATATAGGTGACGCCATATGACATTTCATTGAAATCTTACGCACATGGCATCCTTTAGCGTCAATATAACACGCACTGTTATGGGTAGGTTTTGTTCTGGGGTAGGGTGCGGTTATGACGCCTTGGGATCTGCGTCTCATATTGACGCTAAAGGATGCCATGTGTGTCGGATTTAGACGAGCGTCACCTGTATGACGCCTTGGGTTCTGCGTCTCATATTGACGCTAAAGGCAACACATTCTCATCCCAAGGCGTCATCTAACTGACACTTTTGACCATGCGTCAACATGCCGACGCACATGGTACCCTTTAAGCGTCAATATTAGAATGCCCAAAGAGTCACAAGTGTTTTATGCATGTAACAGTCATATGGAATATGCATGGACTTGGTATCTGGAATCTGGAATATTTGGAATATGTATGGATTTAGTCTGGCTTTGACTGCTCCAGAACGTCAAACCCCTCATTGATTTTGTCATTGTTTCTTTTGTTTGATCTCAGCAACTGCAACCAACACAGATGATGACCCATGCTATGACTACACCATTCTTGATGAACAAAATAGAAGCCCAGATGATTTCTTTGCTGTTAATAATCATATATATGGATATGATGACACTCGTATTGAATGGCATGGCTGGTATCGGCTCTTCATTAATGGATCGAGTGCTCAGATGCCTGAGTGGTGTTTCAGTTATATGTCATGTGGAGGTTATAGTTCTCTGTGGCTTGATGGCTCTCATCCTCAGCTGGAAGATGGAGTTGTTACTCGTGACGTCTACGGCTCTGTTAATGACCAGTGCAGTTACTACAGATCTGACCCAATCCAAGTCAAAGCCTGTCCTGGAAATTACTATGTCTACAAATTTACAAGGCCAAAGCCATTGATCCCAGCCCCTGCTTATTGTGCAGGTACAGCCATTCACCATGGAAAGGATTTGTTTTTGTGTTTCACACCCAGGTCACAATATGGAACTTCAGGAACTTGCCAATAAATAAAAAAAGGCTATTATAGGTTATTATAAAAATGATAAATTATAAAATAAATTATGAAAAACCCAACAATTCATGAAACTAAGTATAAAATATCCGAAACAATTTTGACCAATACTTATTGTTGTTTATGAAGTGTATGTTGTTATCAAGTTGTTTGTGAAGTTACATTTAAAATTATGGAGCCACTAAAGTGACATAAAGCGCACACGTAAAATTCCGCTTTCGCACATAAACATTAGTGCACATTAAAACTTAAACAAATTAAAACCAAACAAATACTGTGCTCACATATTATTGTGTTCAGTTTATGTATATGATCTAGTTTTCTTATGCACATGCAGTTGTTTTTTCATAGGCATGTAACATTTCTTGTGTACAAAGTGGTGTTTAAAAAAAACAATATAAAACATCACTGCTAGAGAAAATATTGCAATTAGCAACTTGAGTAGAAATCAAATAACTAAGTTCTCTCTTTAATTTTCTTCAACAGTTGTTGTCGCCAGTCCACCTAGTGTTGACCCCTGCTACAGTTATAACAGTCTGGATGAGCCTTGGAGAGCAGATAACACTTCGACTGGTGATCTCTCCAGTTCCAGATGTGATTATAATGTCAACTGGAATGGTTGGTACAGGTTGCTCTACAATGGTCAGAGTGCCCAGATGCCAGAGTCATGTGTTGGTTATGGCATGTGTGGCACTTATCACCCACTGTGGCTCAACGGCCCTCACCCACAGCTAGAAGATGGAGTGGTCACCAGGAAAGTCTGCAGTTCCACATGGAACGACTGCTGTGGTTACAAGTCTCATCCCATACAAGTCAAAGCTTGTCCAGGAAACTATTATGTGTATGAGTTTGTCAGGCCAATATACTGTGCAGCTTACTGTGCAGGTAAACACATTGTGTTCTTTTTAATATATAATTTATTAATAATTCTGAAAATTATTAACATTAATGTATAAATACTTCCCATTTCAGAAGTCACAAACCCGACAACAATGCACACAACAACATTGACAGTACCAGTCACAGAAACCAGTGGTAAAGTATTTTCATTAGAGATTAAAGTTTGTCATGCCACTTTTGCAGGTTGACTCAAAGTTTATATTCTTTAAATGTGTTCTTTTATGTTTTTTTTGTTTTTGTTTTTGTTTTTTACTTTTTTGTAATTTATTGACATCAGTATGTACATTTTCCTTGTATCACGTCACAAACACAAGTATATCAGGGTTATTATCGAAAACTCAAACTCAAACCATCAAAAACATTTTCATTACTTGAAATAAAATTAAGTGAAATACTAATAATTTTAAAAAATCACAAAAGTTAATTAATTTAATTCCTTGCTAATCCCATCATTAACCAAGGACTTAAATTAATGATCAAATTAATATAATTGAAATACCCAGTTTGCATTTATTCCAGCTGTAAGGGATTGTGAAACTAATGTCTAAATATGGGGTCATGTCATTAATATTACTAAAACCAGCTTAAACCCAGCTATTGTCATTAATCCTGTGGTTCTCCTCTAAGGTGAAGGAGACCGCTGTTCTGAGCTCAGCTGCACTGAGGATGAACGCTGCGAAGAGGAACATGGTGTTTATGGCTGTTTCTGCAAGGACAACCATCACAGTTCTCAGCGTGGATCCTTTGGTTGGACTCATTTCAAATATACACTGCCCAGCCAAAAAATAAAAAAATATGTCGCTGTTTGGATTTAAAGGGTTTGTTCACCCCAAAATGATAATTCTGTCAGTAATTACTCACCCTCATGTTGTTCCAACCCCGTAAGACTTTCGTTCATCTTCGGAACACAAATTAAGATATTTTTGATTAAATCTGAGAGCTGGATCACTCCTCCTAGGCTTCTTAAGAGATCGAAACTGACCGGCCCAAAAGTTATTAAAGACATCGTTGAAATAGTCAAAGTGACTACAGTGGCTCAATCTTAAGTTTATCAAGCGTCGAGAATACTTTTTGTGCGCAAAAAACAAACATAAATAACGACTTTATTCAACTATTCATTTCCTTCTCTGTGGGCCGTGAGATTTCACGTAGTGAAACTGCGCAAAGCTTCTAGGTTGTACGTCACACGCATCACACACATGACCAGCGTCGGCCAATCGTGACGTACAACACAGAAGCTTTGCGCAGTTTCACTACATGAAATCTCACGGCCCATAGAGAAGGAAATGAATAGTTGAATAAAGTCGTTATTTTTTTTATTTTTTTTTGCGCACAAAAAGTATTCTCGTCACTTGATAAACTTAAGATTGAGCCACTGTAGCCTATGGAGGAGTGATCCAGCTCTCAGATTTAATAAAAAAATCTTATTTTGTTTTCCGAAGATGAACAAAGGCTTACGGGGTTGGAACAACATGAGGGTGAGTAATTACAGATTGAATTTTCATTTTGGGGTGAACTATCCCTTTAAATAGGCAGAGGCTTAAGAGTCAATGATTGGATCATTATTGCAGTGATTTTTATGTTTCTAACATGTTATATGTTTGGCAACAGTTCTTTTAACCCTAATTAATGGAGTGTGTAGCTTTTCATTTCTTAAACAACCATGTAGGAAGACACATCATGGTCATATTCCAGGATGACAATGTCAAGATGCATCAGGCTCAAATTGTGAAAGAATGATTGGGAGGGAGCATGAATAATCATTATGGCTCCTCTGAGTTCATTGAAAGTCTTTGGGATGTGGTGGAGGAGACTTTACAGAGTACTTGATTTTTGCATTGTCAATACAAGATATTTACCAAAAGTTGATGCACGTCTTGATGGAAATGTTGTTTCCTGATGGAAATGTTGTTTCCATCAGGGGGTGCATTAATTTTTGGTAAAGATCTTGTATTGAAAATCTACTCCAGCACATCCCAAAGACTTTCAATTAATTTAAGGTCTGGACTCAGAGGTGCCAAATCATGTGTGAAAATGAAATTCCCAACAGTCATTTTCACTCATAAATCCAAACAGTGTTTTTTTTTTTTGGTGGTTGGGGGCAGGCTGTCTATGTTCATCATTGATTATATTTTTGTTTTTTTATCACTGTTGACATTCTCTTGACTATTCTCTCTCTCAGATTTCTCTGAAACCTGTGAAAGCAGCTCTGGCTCCATGTCTCTGTCTCGCTGTCAGCTTTTTGAGGCTGGTTTTCCTTCTGACATCTTACACCTCAATGACCCCAAGTGCAGAGGAACAGTCCGGAATGGCAGAGTGGAGTTCTATTTTGACAACAATGACCACATCTGTGGGACAAGTCTTGTGGTAGGAATCATTGCATACATGCTCAAATGATCAAAAGAACAACAAATCAAATTTTTGTATATGAATATAATTCTTAGCTATTATTTAAAGTACAAAATTCAAACAAAATGTCCCAACAGGCCAATGGCACCCACTTCATCTATGATAACTTTATTTTGGGGGATTCTGGATCTGGGCATATCATCAGGAGGGGAAAAAATCTGAGGATCCACTTCAGCTGTGTGTACTCACAACAAACCCAATCCCTCTCCATGGACTTCAACCGTCTGGAGAGGTGGGACTCACATAAGAATACATAAATTATAAATACATACATAAAACCAAGAGTCTCTCAATTGCTTTAAAATGATTTGTTTATTTAATTTTGAACAGCATTGTGCACAGGATCCTTCCTGCTGGTCAAGGGACATATCGGGTCAGGATGATTCCCTATCAGGATGCTGAATTCACCCATCCCTTCACTGATAGTGTGAACGCGGAGCTGGACAGCCGTATTTTTGTGGAAGTTCGTGTTGATGGAGTTGACAGCCGTCAGTTTGCCTCAGTGATTGACAAATGTTGGGCTACACCTGTGAATGATCCTCATTACTCTGTCCGCTGGGACCTCATCGTTGACATGTAAGCCATGTGTTATTTTAATATCATTTTTTAACCTTTAAAGTCCTCACCAAGAAAAAAGTGATGGATTTTTTTTTTTTTTTGCATTTCTTATCTCGTTATGTCGCTACTAGTAACCACACTCAATGTATTTTTTTTTTCAACACATCCCATAATTTTTTAAATATCAACCTCTACCAAATGGTTGATATGTCACTTAAAGGTAAAAAAAAAAAAAAAAAAGTACCGGAATTCATACACATATGAAAATCAGAAATACTAATTTATTTAAAAACATAATCAAAATTAAATATTTTTGTATATTGAATCTTCTTTATTTATTGAATGTCATTAAATATTTCAGGTTTTCATTTTAACACAGGACATTTTTACCAAAAATGTTTGTTTTTTTCTTTGCCCATCATAATTTATGATCAAAATTTTTTCTAATCTTGACAAAACACATATTGTCAGAAAGGTCTGAGTCTCAAGGTTCCATATTTTGTGATAGAAGTGATATTTGGACAGAAATGTATTAATTTGTTACGGCAGAATGCATACAATTAAATTCAATGGAATGTATGTCAGCCTGGGGCTATTTTTTGGTATTACGCCTAAACAAAATCTTCAATTTTTGTGAGATCAACTTCAAATGTGGAACACAACTTGGTTAGATAATATGGCTTTGATTTTATAGTAATTTTATAGTAAAAAATATTTTGTAAAATATATATTTTATATAAAATAAAAAATATTAAGTACAGTATATTTGATTTAATGTAAATTTCCATAACTTTTTCATACTTAAAAGTGCTTTTACTTCAGCAATAATCTGCTGAGTGTTTTCTTTAAAACAAGACCAAACTTAGGTCTATATTCCAAAGCATTCTTGAATTACAACCAAGTTTTAATAGTGCATTGTAATGTCCATGTCCACAGTTAACCGTTATGTGCCAAATCAACCGTTTGAGCATGTTTTTGATTTTTTTTTTAAAAACATACTTTTTCATGGCACCAAGTAACATCATTTTGTATTACACTTACAGTGTAATATGTCAAAAAAAAAGCTTACCTTGCAAAATTTCACCAAAAACAGTTCACATGGCAGGAGTGATTTATTTGTTTCTGACATCCATGTTCGAAGAAGTGTTGTGACAAGTGCTGTTGATTGACACTGTGACATCTAGTGGATATTTTTGGCATAACATACCTCAAACAGATGGTAGAGATGGCTCAATCAGTTTGAGTTAGGTACTCAAAGGAATAGTACTCAATAAAATATAGTGACTCAAAATGTGCTCAACCATTTGATCGAGCAGGCAGTTAAAGGGTTAAATAAATACTTTGATCTTGGTGCATTTGGGATATATTTTGAAATCTTTTATTTACTGGACATTAATTCTTTTGACAAAAAGGGATAGCTATCTGCACACCAAAATTACAGCTCCACAAAGTTTATTAATAAAACCTTGCAAGTTTCGACCAGTCAGGTCTTCATCAGGCACAAACCTGATGAATGAGATGCAACTCTTTATGAATTAATACATTAATTAATTTTCATTAAGAACTTATTTTGTCCATAAAAAATTATAATTTTGGATTGATAATTTTGAATTTGCTTTAGATAAATTTTTTTTTACTGCACAGCAGAAGGAAATGTACCAAGTAGAGATAGAGCACCGATACAACATTTTTCCACAAATACCGATTATTCAGAATGATATCTGGCCATATCTATACCAATATTTGACTCTTTAGGAAATATATCTCCCAATTAATGCTGTAAACAATACAGGGAACCCTCTCACAATGTTTGTATACAACTCAGTTGCACATAATGTTGTTTTATTAACAAAGTTCGGGAGGAGCACGTTCAGATAATTAACCTAAATTTACACAAGAGGAGCACACTCAGTTAATCAATCAATCAATTGCCAAATACACACACACACACACACACGCACACACACACACACACACACACACACACACACACACACACACACACACACACACACACACACACACACACACACACACACACACACACACACACACACACACACACACACACACACACACACACACACACACATATATGAATAATTGAATTCGTCCTTCCTAGTCCAGTCCTTCGGAGGCCTTAGACCTCCTCAGCTTTAAAAGAATAGTTCAATTAAAAAATGAAAATGATCCCATAGTTTACTCCTCCTCAAGCCATCCTAGGTGCATAGGGTCAAATAGAGCCTGCTTGAAGTCAAAAAGTCACTATTTTTAAACTGTTAATGTGTTATTGTTGCATTAACATTTTCTTCACACACAGTAGTATGAGTTGATTGCCCTTTTGATTGCCATGTATCGTCTCTGATCATCGACTGTTTTAAAGGGGTGGTATAATGCCCCTTTTTACAATATGTAAAATAAGTCTCTGTTGTCCCCAGAGTGTGTATGTGAAGTTTTAGCTGAAAATACCCCACAGATAATTTTTTACAGCAAGTTAAAATCGTCCCTTTTTGAGGGTCAGTAAAAACGAGTCGTTTTGTGTCCCTTTAAATGCAAATGAGGTGCTGCTCCCGGCACAGAGGGCGGAGCTTCAAGAGCTTGTGTGCGTGTGTGTGTGCAGTGTTGCCAACTTAGCGCCTTTGTCGCTTTTTTTAGCGACTTTCCGATACATCGGTGCATCCCTATTCCATCAATTCCATTTTCTTTCTTTCTTTTTTTTCAATTTGTTGATCATTATCATTTTCAATATGCCTAGGTGTCCCAGTCCAAATGACATAGTGGAGCTTCTGCAGAATGGTGTTTCCACATCCAGCCGTTTCTCCTTCAGCATGTTTATGTTCACGACATACTTCACCAAGGTTTACCTGCACTGCGCTATTCACCTTTGCCTTCAGACAGACAATCACTGCTCAGTGGTGAGTTTACAAATCCTGTAGCAACATAATGTCTCACATATGAAGTTGTTGAAAAGGCACAGTATTTTCCATAGTAGGGTACAGCAGGGTTAAAGGCACACCGAGGTAAAAGGCGCATTTGATTCGATTGGTTTCTTTATTTTTAAAATATATATTTTATATTAACATATTTTAATGACAGTATATTTATTGAACAAAAATTAAATCTTTTATTTATAAAAAAATAAACAAATAGATAGTAGGCTACAAACTTTGCTAAAATATTTGTTTTGAACAAGTATTAACTTAGACATTATACACATATATATATATATATATATATATATATATATATATATATATATATATATATATATATATATATATATATATATATATATATATATAAAACATAGCTAAAGTATTTTCCCCATGCTGGTGAGCCTTTAACCCTGTTTGGGATAAAAGGCCCCACCTTGCCACCTCATACATTTATACCGTTTTTAAACTAAATAAACCACTTTTATGATACACCATTGCTGAGTATTTTCTCCTTAAAACGGCAGTGAACCAAAGACAGTCTCAAAAACGATGTTTGAAGTTTTAGGGGATACAATTATTGACTACAGGGGGACTTTAAGGTGTGCCTGATTTGATATTGACATGTTTAGTTTTTGCCCGCCCAGAAGAAGGACAACATTTTAGTTCTATACAGCTTGTGTGTGCGTCAAGAGAAACATCACACATGTGCCATATGTATGCGAGAGCGTGCATACCTAAATGTTGTGGAGCACCAAATTCTCTGGCTTTGTGCCCCCTGGTGATCACAAATCAGAACAACACAGTCAGCACAGTCCCTTAAAACGAATTAACAGTTCATACATTACACACATAATGGATACTTGTGGTTGTCTTCTGTTGTTGATGTTTGTGACTAAGAAGATAATTATTTGATGACATAAATTGACATACCGCCTAAATGTCCGGTCTTTGTTACTTTTAGCACTGTGACTCTGAACAAGGTGTGAGAGAGGGCAGATCTGTGGACTTCCATGACAGCACTTCCATATCCATGGGTCCATTTATGATGTCTGACAGTAACAAAGGTGATTTATGGAATTAAAAAAGGGACTCATTTATATTGTTCATGCATATCTGACAGTTCATGTTTGCAATTTATCACAAATCACACGCTATACTTTACATTGACTCTTCATAGGTGAGCAGCTCCCAGTTTTCCAAGTGCAGGTGTCCAGGGCTCCGAGTCTGTGTGCTTCTCTGATGGTTTTACTCATTTCTATGATGTGTCCTGATATCCTTTTAGACTATTTCCACTAAGAATCGTTTTAGAGATTCTCCCTGCAATCTCTGTTTGATTAATGATTTCATTAATCTCTTTTTTTCTTTACCATATGACTGTACCATATCTCCTTATGTTAAAAAATACAAATTTGCAGACATTGTTGAACTGATTTTATTTTGATAAATGTAACTAGTCTTTTCACTCATGGGATTGAATATTCAAAATAATATTTTAAAAATAAATAACAATAAGCAAACTGATTTTTGAATTGTTTTGGTGATTAACGTGTCAGTTCAAAATCTTTGTTTTCATTCATGAGCCAATAATAAGTATACCTATTGATTTAGGCTATATCTCATATTTCAAACATTAAACATGCATGTGTCATTTAATGTGAATAACTAATATATGTGACTTAAATTACCCTTCCTAAAACAAAACGTTCATAATGAGACTGCCACCAGTAGCTCTTACCTCCTTGACATAAACACGGCGCGTCAGAAATGACGTCAGAATGACGCGCTTAGTCATTAGGCTTGTTTGAGATGCGCCTTGCCTCCAAGCTAGGGGGTAATCCATAGACATAATAAATACATAGACGCCCTATTGGTCGCTGGAGCGTACGTCAACGGCGCCGCCATGTTGGGGATGGCAACTTTCCCATACCTCTCATACAAGGGGGTAATCCATCAACCGGAAGTTGAAGCCGGCCGGCTACCGCCATCTTGTAGCAGAACTTCACTTGCGTTAGCATTTCCATTGACTCCCATTCATTTTGGCGTCACTTTGACAGCGAATAACTTTACATCTGAGGCGTTTAAAGACTCCATTTGTCCATTATTTATTTCTAAAGAAACACGACAATGTATAAAGGGCTCCATTACCTTCTATGTTACATTATGGCCCCGTAGAAACAGTTTTAGTAAAAATAGGCTAACGATTGCGTCATAACCACTTGACTCTCTGTCGCGCTGTACAGAAATTACCGTACAGACAGGAGGAGAAGCTCGCAGGCAATCGGGGGGATGTCCCGTCAAGGGAGAAGCCCATAGATAATGAGTCCATAAAAGCAACGGAATACTTACTCCTGCTCACTCACGATAAAGGACTCTTTGCTCAAGTTCCCCGTCTCTGCAAGATTGACGTTGGCAATTTTCACGCACAGCTACTAGAAGATTCACATCTGTCAGACAGGTTGCTCACGTCATCAAGCTTAGTTTGAGTCGGTTTGAGTCTGCGCGTCAGGAACGGAAGTGCTCAAAAATCGCTAAAAATGGGCTTCAACTGTCTCAACTGAGTTCCAATGAGATGGCTCTGTCCATTTCTTATACTGTCTATATGCTCTCATACCGGGAATTGAGAAAAATGCCTGTTTTGTGCGCTGTTTGGGGCTGTACACATCGCCACACAATTGAAAACAGCTTTCGAGGAATTACCTTTCGCAAGCAAGACTGAACGTTTGTTTTTGGTTGTATTTGGTCATGATTTAATTAGTAATAGTAACGTTCAGAGGATACATTTAAAAATACTACACTGTAAAAAATTTCTTGTCAAATTAACAGTAACTTACTGGCAACAATTATCCAGTAGTTGCTGTATTTCATTCAACAGTAAAATTACTGTAACACTAACTACAGTAGTGTTAAGCATACTGTAAAATTAAATACATTATTTTACCGTAATTTTTTTATCATGTTGAACTACAGTATTACACCGTTAATTTTTAATAATACTGTATAGTATTATACAGTTATGAAATGTTATTTTATTTCTTTTATAGTGCTACTGTGTAAACTGTAGAATATGTAGAAAATCCGTAGAAATATTATTTTAACTGTTACTGGGAAATAGAAAAAAGAACAATTGAAGATTTAACTGCACAACCAGGTTTATTGTGTATATTCAAACAATACATTAGTAATAATAATGTAATATAATACAACAATAAAAATCTGTTTTAAAAAAAGACTAAAGAACAATTTATCATTAATAATTAAAATCAGTGAACAATTCATATATTTCAATTCATGCAAAAATTATCCTGAAGAGGTAAAATAGAAACTTGAAAGCAGAACAGGTGAGGATGAAGGCCAGGTGCGGAAAAAAGTGGAAGAGCAGCGACAGCACTTCTGATAATCCTGCAAGAAATGATAAGCACAAATCAATCAGAGGCTAAACATTCAACTAATAAATAAAAAAAACTAAATCACATTATCAACACCTTTTAAGGGGATTTTTTTTGCCTATGGTATCCACTTATTTTTCACAGAAGAGTGGGCCGGTTTCATACGCTTAGTTATTTCTAACTGTACACAAAAGCTTGTTATGCTTCTTGATATTGCAAACTGCTATTCCTTACCCTATTATTTTAATGTATTGAATTTGTCATAATTGTAAACACTAGTTTGAGGCACAAATATTTTTATCATTTACAGCATTTGTTATTCATCTCTTATTTCCTTATAGCGGCTAATGAACCGGAAGTCTCGCACATTCACAGAAAATAGCTTACTTCACTTTTGAAGTTGAAAAATAAGGTGGATATACTGCTTGCATGTTGTGTGGCATACATGGATATACATATATCGACTATATTAGGGGTGGGGGAAAAATCGATTCACATATGAATTACGATTCCATCTTCTGCGGATTCAAACCGATTCACACATTTCAAAAATCGATCTAAATGTTTAATAATGTGATGATGTTGTTTCAAAGAAGGACAGTTTAGAGAGTGCACAAGCTTGAAACAGAGGAAGCATTATGAATGAAGCTTATACTTGACTACAGAAGTTCATATCAATATCTTAACAAATAGAAAATAGTCTTAAATAATGTTTAGTTAGTCGAGCACACTTCAGGCTTTTCTTGCGATCTTTCCATGTACAGGTAGGCTACTTTAGTTTTTACATACAAGAAACACGTTCAACATGGACACGCAAACGGTTTTCTGTGGCAACGAACAAATACCGCCTATAAAAGAGCATGAACATGTCCTGTATCAGAGGCTAAAGTAATAAATATTGAGAATGCAATGGGCCTTATTCTATATCTCTGACTCCAAACAATCGGCCACTGATGAGGGCTGCGTTTCCCCAAAGCATTGTAACCTTAAATTAATTATAGAACAATTACCACCAATGGTCTACAATCAATTTAGGCTTACGATGCTTTTGGTAAACGCAACCCAGATCCTGATGATAGTCAGTTCCTTTCATAGATATGTCTGTTGACTTGATGCTCACTAATTTGAATTACGAAAAAGATGCGTGTATGAACGCTGAGCGGCAGCGGGCTAGATTAAATTAACGCAGATATGAGGTGTGTATAATTTAAACTAAATAACTCCCACTCGATTGGGAATAACAGTAGCTGCTGTTTGATTTTGAATCAAATTTAAATTTGATATATGCATAGAATATATTTAAAATCTATGATCAAATATAAATCTATGCATATATCAAATTTTAATTTGATTCAAAAGAGAATTGATTTTTGAATCAAATCGTGACCCCAAGAATCTATTTGAATCGAATAGAAAATGTATGGTTTAAGTCATTTCCGCCCTTTTTGGATTTTTCTAAATACAGATTCAGACACAAATAATTTCTACCGATATGGGCTCCGCTGCACATCCCTAATATATCTTACCTTAATGATTTTGCCAGTCATATTCTGCAAAGTCCCTGATGAAAGATGTGTGAATTCAAAGACATGTTCTTCCTCCGAACAACCTTCCCACTCTTTCTGCTCCCCTGGAACTGTGATGTGCATTTTGAATTTTCAGGATTTATCCTGAAACCTGTAAATAAATAAAAAAATATTTTCCAACTGAATAAAAAACAACAACTCTTACGGACCATTTCTTTAAATATAGTCATTCTAACTGCATTCTAATAGGCTTCATCGCGCAGTTTAAATGGATAGTTCACTTCAAAGTGAAAATTCTGTCATCATATACTCACCCTCCAGTTGTTTCAAACCTGTATACATTTCTTTCTTCTGCTGAACACAAAGGAAGATATTTTTAAGAATGTCAGTAACCAAACAGTTAACTGGGCCCATTGACTTAGTATTTTCTTTATCCTACGATGGAAGTCAATGTATCCAGTTAACTGTTTGGTTATGAAAATATCTCCCTTTGTGTTCAGCAGAAGAAAGAAATGTATACAGGTTTGAAACAACTTGAGGGTGAGTATATGATGACAGAATTTTCATTTTGAAGTGAACTGCTTGACTCTCAAGGCGTCGTTTTTTTTTCTTCAAATGAGTAGTCAGTTTGCACATAGTTAAAACAACAATTACGATATTATAGCTGACAATACTGTAAATGACATACCTAGCTTTGTCTTTGGACAAAAATGCACACTTTTGAGCCCTTCCATCAGATAGACTGAGGTAAATATGAGCGCGCAACTGCACAAGGTTTACTGGCTGATCGTCAGGTCCTCACAGACGAGTAAAAGAAAATAGTGATTTACACGAAAATAAGCGCGAATAAATCGATAAGAGGAATAGTAATGTTAATTTTTATAACAATAATCCGAATCCTAACCTTGGGTATCCGATTTCAGGATACATTTCTCGATTTTCAATTCCCAACCCTATGAAAATGTAGGCTACGTTACCCGCAGGCGCTTCCACCGACTTAAAATGGTAAATAACAAAATGTTTAGATCATTCTGACCGTATACGTGGTCAGCTAATAACTGTAAAGTTAATAATTAGCTAGAATCCATGTATGCATACAAATAATAAGATTTATTACTTACCAGATGACGAAGTTCCTCAGGTCGGCAGAAACAGACACGATCGATGCACTGACATGACAGTCACAGAAGAAAAACTCGTTCAAACTCAAATGCGCTCTCATGCACCCCCCACTGACAGAAATGAATACTGTCATGGTCACCCCATCCTGAAAATGTTTTATGTAGCCTAAAAATAACGTTGCTATACCAATTTTTCCTGCGGAATTTTGTGTGGGTTTTTTCGCGGTCAATTTGCACTGCTGTATTTAGATTTACAGTAACTG